GGTGGCGGCGGCATCGACGTGGGGCGAGGAGTGGGGGGCGGCGGCGTCGTCGTCACTCATGGTGCCGTCGAGATGAGCTCACGATTGCGGGGGACAAAACACCGGCGTATTCTCACCTGCAAAACCAGAAATACCACACGCCAAAGGTTTCAGGGGAGTGGTACACGGGTGGTATATGAGTGACACACGCTTCAAGTACCAGTATCTGCCACGGCGGGGGACGTAGCTCGGAGCGAACGGGCGCGGCTGGGGGGAGATCTGGAAAGGATGAGCCGAGCGCAATAGCGCGGTGCGAACAACGTGGGATGGCTGGTGAGGCGCCCTCGCTATATATGAGGGTAGAGAGTAGCTTATGTAAGAGAAACACAAAGGAGGGGACTTGAAAGAACTTGGAAAATGTTTGTATTGTTTCAGTGAAATCTCTTTATATTTAGTTCGAAGGCTAATCATTGTTTTTCGTCTCCTATACTGGTGTAGTGTGCACTCGGATGGAGCAGTCCGAGGAGAGTGAAAGAAGGACATAGTGGACGTGTGAGGCTATAGTGACAAGTCACTGGAGACTATAGAAGTCGCGTGATTATTGATAACCACTCGAAATGTGGTTACGACAGCGTGACATTACAGATCACAGCGACAACCACTATCACCCGCAACCTCGATAGTTACCACAAAGCCATATACCATAATCCATCAGTTACTATCGTCCACCAAAAGCTACTATTTAAAAATTTTCACTATCATAGTCAAGAGGAACATGCTATTTGCCTTGATTTTCTCTTTTACTGGTCACTTGTGGCTAGTGAGTTGGGCTCATCTACGCACGTTATCTGGCCCCCCGCACCTCATCGCACTACGCCATGGCCGGGATCAAGAAGACCCTGCTCCGAACCAAGCTCAACCGGCGGACGACGCTGGTCGCCTCGAAGATCTCTGAGTTCCATGGCCAGACCGAGACCCCACAGACCCACAGCAACCCGCTTTTGCGCCTTGCCACCGAGCTGAAGAAGGAGAAGCGGGACCGCAAGCTGGCGTCGTTCACCGAGAGAATGATGAACAAAGTGACTTTCAACACCGGCAACGGCGTCTCTAAGTCCGCAGCGAGACGTCAGCGACGCAAAGCTCGCCAGCAGCTTAAGCCGAACCTCAACGACTTGCTCACGCTGTTACCGGATCCTGCCACCACCACCATCACCAAGAGCGGGTTTATTCCTCCGAAGCAAACACGGAACCCTCACGCCCCCACCACCAAGACACAGAAGGGGAGACTCCGAGTGATGAAACAAGAGAATGAACAGTTCAAGCAGGTGCTCCAGAACCAGGCGTTCCGCCAGCTGCCGTTTGCCGCGTTGAGAGAGGCGATCAAAAACAACGGTGCCTCCGCATAAGCGAGCCATTTTAAGCGAAGGGCTCCCATAAGAAAACATGATGATTATTTCATAAATATTGTATACTAGAACATGTCACGTGAACACCACCACGGTGGACGACCAAATAAACTATCGAAATTACGTGAATAGCGTTTTGTCGACTAAAGTTAGGTGCGTTTGCATATCACACCGCCTGTCGTATACTGTAAATACCAGTGGAAAGATTTGAGACGCGCGCGTAGGTCACGTGAGCCCACCCATCCAGGGGGTCCAAATCAAGGGTCTAGATCCACCGTTTACTACACCAAAACACAATAAAGTGTCTCAAAATAGTTCCCGTACTTTTGCTTCAATGATATCTTCTTCTTGCCAACTTGATTCACCAAAGTTTCCTCATTATTTTCCCTTCTTTCCCCGATCGGTTATCTCCACAGTGGTTCGCGGTTCGGCGGCTCCACCTAACTCTCCGGCTGGCGATCCCTTTTTTGCGCTATATGCACTCCAGATGGCCCCCAGACCCAAACACCGCACGCGTCGAACGTAAACACGCAAACAAACCCATCAGTGCTGCTGCCAACACCCCCCCATCCGCCGCTCGCTCACCTCGTTTCAGGACTTGTGTGGAACCCCAACCCATTCCGACTGCCAAAAACAGGGAATGTCTACCTGTCCCGCCACTCCTCTGTCCTCGCACAGCTCGCTCGGGCTGACGGTGGCCCTCGCCAAACAGCTGGTGACGTTCCTCCAGGAGCTTGAAAAACAGCACCAGATGGACCGCCAGGCGGCGCAGGGGCTGCCCCGTCCGCTCGCGGTGTCGCAATCTGCCGGGTTCGACGCCGACAAGGCCGGCTACGACCACGGCGACGTCTATCCTCATCTCGTCGCTAGCGACACCTTGGTGAAATTCGACCCCGAAAACGATAGTGTCATCACCCAGGCCACCCTCAGAGCGCTAATTGTCCAGCTCACGCTGCCCGACGTCATCGACTACCCCTTGATCTGCGATTTCTTCCTCACCTACCGGTTATTCGTCACTGGCGATCGCGTCATGCAAATGTTGACGGCGAGACTTGTGTGGGCTCTCGAAGCCTGTCGCAGTCTTCTGGAAGAGAAACACCACCTCGGCAAGCTCGTGGTGGTGCGCACGTTCGTGGCGTTGCGTCACTGGATCCTCAACTACTTTGCCGACGACTTTGTCCCCCACCCTTCCCTTGGTGATGCTCTTGTCACTACATTGAACCACATCACTGGCTTAGGGCTCGTACAACAGGATGATGGCTCCGAAGCCCAGGTGCTTGTGGAGCTTAAAGTGCACTGGCTCACAATGGTAGGTCAATACTCGACGCTCTACACCGATATCGAGGACCTTGTGCGTTCTGGTCGCATGCTCGACTACGAATTACCTCCCACTACTCGGCTCTCGGCGTCTAAAGCAGATCCGACGTGGCGACGGCTGGCCATGCTTCTGTTATACGACCAACCCCAACAGACGGCGCCGGGACTGCTAAAACGGCTCATGTGCCGCCACCAGCTGCTGCAGACACTGTTGCCGCAACAGCTCGACGACTACACTGCCAAATACAGCCTGCCGTCGCCTCCCCAGTCGCATCAACCCCCGCATAGCCACATGAATATCGTGGATCTGAGCCGTCCTCATCATAATCTCTTCCACCCTGTTGATTCTCCTAAGGATCTAAGACCAGCAGCCCTGGGTTTCGCCACTAACGGTAGAGTGAAACTCCCCCTGGCAGTGGTATCACAAATCATCCCCACCACACCAGTCCGCAAGATGGAGGCGCTGCCCCTGCTGCAGGCATTGCAGGCATTGGCACCACCACCTCCAAAGTTTAACGATGACAGCGACCTCGCTCGCCGGCTGCTGTTGAAGAAGATTGTTGACGGCATGAAGCGGACATGGGCAGCCCTCCCTCATCTGCCGAAGATGCCCACGTCTACTAGTGAGCAAACGATCACTCTGGTCCGCACCATCACCAGTACCGAACCTGTCCCTGTCACTGGTAACCGCATGGACGTGTTGGCGGCGCGTATTGTTGACGAATTGGAGCTCATGGTTGAGTACTATAACCAGCCACCTTCAATCGCTTCGAGCGGACCTGCCGAATCGGTGGCGGCGCCCGTGACCAAATCACCTTTCGGCGCCGCGCTTATTCGTGATACTGGTAATACCGATCCGGTGATTCTGCTGTCGTCACCGCAAGAGTCTCCTGCTCCGCTGTTCCAACAGCCAGCGCTGATTAATTGGAGCGAAGATGTCCCCTTCGACCTGGACGAACACCACGACCTGCCGATCAAAGTCACCATCCCCAAGCTGGACTTGTACTTGGACTTCAGCCTGGTGTTGGAGGATAAGCCGCCGCGTACGCTGTTTGATCTGGTACTGACGCCGCTGAACTTCACTCAGTACAGTAACGACGTCATCGATCTCGGGATCGCTCCCAGTCCTGCTAAACCGGGATCGCTGGGGTCACGCAAACCCCTGAATGACCCGCTGAGAATGCTGAACTTGCTGTTCCGCCGCGACCTGGTAAAGCTGTATTTGTCGTATGACCTGGCGCTCTCAGTGCTGCGGGAAGTGGTGGTTATGGAACAATTTGGTGGTCTCCGCAAGAAGCACGGCTACGCCAACTTACGCATGGCCACCGCCACTACGGAGACGGTGGAGTCGCAGCTGCTGGTGCCGCGCCCCCGTCTGCTTCGTTTGCTGACGCTTTGCGCCTTGACTGAGCTCCCGTTCCCTGAAGGCGACCAGAACCCGACCGATCAGCTTAATACCGATGCCCTGCTGATCTTTCTGATCGCCGTACGCAGTCGCCTCGCCAGTATGCGCTGTGCCCGGCTGTATATTCCCTCCGATACGCTGACGAACTCGGCGGCGATCCCGGGAATTTCCTCCCAGGTGCTTAAACAATTAGCCGCCATCCCCGACGAGCTGTTTGCTGCCACTGACCCCGTGGAGTACGCTTTGAATAAGCTTGAAGGAAGGTCACCGGCGACCCAAGCCACGCCGGCTCTGAAGGATTCCATTGCCGAAGACTTCATCGCTGAAGATCAAGTTGATCTCTGTGTGGGCCCTGACGACGTCGCTCAAATCAGACAAATGCACCAGGTCCGAATCGTGTCGCTGCATCACTCGCAGCTGATGGTACTGGTTCGCGCTTCGGGACTCGATCTGACCCTGCCTTTGGCAGATGCGGAAAACACTGAGGACATCATGCGGGCCATCAATCAAGCGAACACTCTAGACGTCGACGACAGTGCCTCAGTGCACACCCCGGAACCGCCATTGACTCCCCACAAGTATCACTTCGGTACTCTGACGCCGAGAGCGCTGGTGGGGGAACTGCCGCTTGAAGAACCGTCAATCGACATTCTGATGCTCGCCAAAGACTTGCCGCAATTGCCTGAGCCTCAGGCGCTTGCTGCTCCCTTCCACAGTCCCGGTGGTGACTCAATGGCTAGTGAGCAGTTTCACTCCACCCGCAACACTCTCCAAAGCCAACAGTCAAGTCCCGACGTTACTGTTATCCACCACAGTTCCAAGGCCAAGGTTTCCCCTGCCGCTGGTCCTGAGGCTGAGTCTGAGGCTCAACAATTGCCGCCAGTGCCTCAATTCAATCTTGCTGAGATGATTGAGAAAGGCACTCACGTCTCCTTCATCCACAATTGTCCCGCCAAGGTATTGGCGGTACACTTCACTGCCATTGAACGCGATATTATCCAGGATATCGACTGGAAAGACTTGATTGAGCACAAGTGGAATCGCGACTTGGCTCCGGTGAACCTGTGGCTTGAGATCATCGCCAACGAGGAATACTACACCACGAATCAGGGTGTAAACCTTGTGATTGCCCGATTTAACCTTATGGTCAACTGGGTGATTCTGGAGGTGTTGCTCACTAAATCACAATCCGAACGGGTCGGCGTCATTCTGCGGATGATCCACGTTGCTCACCATTGTCTTGTCCTCCAAAACTACCTGACATTGATGCAGGTGGTGTTGGCGCTTACCCTGGAAAAGCTCCACCGCCTCAAGGACACATGGATGCACTTGCACCCTGGCGATATCCTCATGTTAAAGAGCTTGGAGGAGCTCACGCTGCCCCTCAAGAACTTCTTGAACTTGCGCATTGCCATCAACACCACGACGCCGCTGAAAGGGTGCATTCCTTTTGTTGGTTTATACCTTCTGGACTTAATCTTTAACGCTGAACGGCCCACATTCATCAAGGCTGCTACCGACGATGGGGATAAGTTGATCAACTTCGCCAAGTTCCGCACCCTGGTTCACATTGTGAGACTGTTGTCCCAGTGCATCGAGTGGCTGAGCAACTACCACTTGGAAATGGTGCCTGAAGTCTTGCTGCGGTGTCTTTACATCAAGAGCTTGGACGAGGACGAAATGAACTACTGTGTCGACCACATTGACGACCCATAAATTTGCATATTACGACATTATTAATTCTCATAGATACTTAATACACTATTTTACAACTTTTCCATTTGCTGTAGCTACATTGGTCTAAATCCATACGTGAAATTTCACTAACGCTTGAGGCCATTAAAATTGCTTTTGAGGAAGTCTTCCCGGTTGTAGTTTGTAGAGGGAACACTTCATCTACTATCAACCTATTGATGCAGCTTTACATTTTCACCGTGCTATCAGGTTTCGACCAGGCGTTTGTTGTGAATAGCAAGCATGGCACTTTCGAAAGCCCGGTGGTTCACTGAAAGATTTGGTTATATTTTAGCCATCATGTATTCATGAGCAGTTTATCTCAGTGAATGATTCAAAGTTCCACGAAACGGAAATTACAAAAAAAAATGCAGAGTAAAGGGGTTGAATTGTGGTGCAATCAGGTTCATACCTACCGTATATAAGTGTCTCTTTCCCTAAGGAATATAATTTCCCATGTCTCCACACAGCATCAATCCCGAGCAAAACGGAATTGACTCTGATGACCTGGGTGTGCCCCATGATATAATTGAAGACTTCGACGAGTTGAATTTGGAAAATTCTGACATGGATGACGACATACACGATTTTGTCACTCGGTTACCTCAATTCCAAGCTGCCTTAGACAGACTTACCAATGATGACGACCGTCAACTCTTCACCGATATAATTGCAGACCTCGACGAGTTGCGTTTGGATAGGGCAGCTGCAAATGATGGCGTACTCGGTAAATGTATCACGATCAGCGACTTTATCGAGCAAGAGGAAACTTCAGACGGACTCCCCGGACACGACGCTGCCGAATTGAACAGATTGAGCCAAGAATTGCAGAGACTCGATGAGGACTACGAACAGGAATTGCAAATTATTGATGCTCAGGTTGACAAAACATTAATTACATCAAACTTTGAAGAGTATGGACGACTTTGCCTCGAAGCCAACAATCAGCGTAGACAGTTGCGTCTCTCTATCAATGAGAGAGTTGATGACCTTCTTAATGGGCTGGAGGGGGTTCTGCAGGAGGTTATCGATGATGTCAAAGAAGCTATGCTCGAAACGACTAGGGCAGGGGATTCCTACGAAGGGGATATTATCCGGGACCTTCAAAGAACCTTTGCCGGCTACGTCGGTGCCCTGCCAGGCGTTATTCGGGAAGCGGTGATGTTTTATTGTGAGTGCATGGCTGGTGTCGAACCTCGTGGCACTTCGTCATCGCCTATCGAGTTGTAGTCCTTGTGCACTGATCGATAATATGAACATGTTTGAATTCGTGTTAGATAGTGTATATTAAATAATAGGGAACGCTCAAATCGTTATCGAGCCGTCGCTGACTCCCCAAGTGAAGTTGTCGTAGCCAAAAAGCCACGGTCCCAAAGTATGTCTGATGAAGATCATAAGGATGCCTGTGACAAATTGAAGCCCCATGATCAAAAGACATAACGAGTCTTCTTTCATTGGCCCGAAAGTCACGAGGAGCCAGTTAATCATCGTCATATTGGAGAACTCAACGACTTGGCCCTTTTCATCACGTTTAAGATCAATTAAGCGGAACGTTTCCAAGGGTAGAAGGATGAGTCGCGTCGCCCAGCGAGTCTTGACCAGGCTGGGAGGGGTATTAGCATCGCCGTCGATCGATTCGCCTCCCGCTAACTCACCATAAGATGGTTCCAAATTGCCCGTGGCAGCATTAAGCCGCGGCATCCGGTGCCGAGGGCAGGGGACAAGATGAAAGAGCTGGGGTACACTGTAAATGAAATTGATGATTTGCGGCAACAAAAAGAGCAACAACGTCTTGGAAAAGTGGCCCAGAATCCCCACTACCGCGAACACCATCCCTGCAAAGTAACAGAAGGTGTCGCCGACAAACACACGAGCAGGGAACCAATTGTACCGCAACACCCCGAGAGCGACGCCAAGGAAGGGGATGAGGAATATCGCCAGCAACAAGTGCAGTTCACGGGCAGCAAGCAGCACAGATCCATTAGTAATGTAGAGGAGATCGTTTAATAAAAGCACCACGCCGAGCACCACCAGCTGGCCCACTTCAAGACCATTAATACCTGCCAAAATGTTGATGGCGTTGGGGGCGAAGATAGCAATAGCAGCCATGTACACGTAGTAGAAGATGCCCAAGTCGAGAAGCTTAGGTGACCCTTCTGGGATTTCGTAGTCGGAGGGGAGTGATGAAAACAGCAATCCACTAAGGCGAGTAACAATGGTATTCACCCCCCAAATCATCCAGTTGAACGCCACAAGGAGCCAGTTACCCACTTTAGAATTAGTGACAAACGTCGGCACGACCACCGATGTCACCGAGAAATCGACATAGTAGACGATGAGCAACGGGATGGCAGCAATGGCGGGGAGGAAGAACTTGTGGCGCCACCGGATATCGAAGAGATCGTCGCAGAACCCGAGGAATGTGGTGCAAATGAGGCAAAGCAACGCCAGCAAAAACGTCAGCAACTTGTTGTGGGGGAACAACTGGTTGTCGTTCAACAGCTCATATTGGGTGGCGTAGGCGGTGTAGACCTCGCTGTCGTCCAGAGCACTCAGCATTACCAAGTATTTAAAAAACACAAACGGAATGAGAAAGAGCATGACGAAAAAATACGTCACTGCCGCCACCAACCCCATTGACTCGGGCAACGGTTCACTGGGCTTACCGTCCTTCCGGGGCGGCTTGAGGAGATCGCGTCCCGAGAGGCCAATGCGTTTAAACTGGGGACCTACCCGAGGGATAAGCTCGGTGGTGGCAAGGTACCCGAGCACGGCAAACGCCCCTGCAGTCCGCAAGGGACTGTTGGTGGTGATGAGACATAGCAGGCCTCCTAGGAGCACGCCTCGAATCAACATGGATGCTGACGACTGAGGTGTGGGCGCGTCAGTGGTGGTGAGGATGAGAACGCGAGCCATGGCAGAGACAGATATCGAGACGGGTCTACGAGTGAGAGGCTATTTGAGGCTTGGGGGAAGATCGTAGAGATGGGACTATACCCCGAAGGGAAATAATAGAAGTGTAGTGGGGTCGGGAGGGGGCTTTTGCGCTATTCCGGAAGTTGATGGAACACCGACAGCCGATACGGGGGTGTTATTGTGTGGTGGCTTTGTGGCGTGAATCGGTAAAGGATGCACCGTGGGGTGACAATGTCAGGGGGCTATGTTTGTGGTTAAGGACGCTGGTTTTGCGCCGACATTGACAGCGGGGTTTCCTATGTGGGGAAATCTGTCGGTTCGGCTATGGCCAGAACAATAGAACTCATTTGTCATCGGAGGGAGTCATCAAAAAGGTTATTGTCGGTTAGTTGCCAGCCGACGGTCTCGAACTGGTAACTTGAACTATAAACTATAACTGCCACTAAAGTTTATGCGTGTCACACTCGCTCAGGGAAGTTTGGTGAAATTTTTTAAAATTACAATATCAATCATGAAAAAGTGAGGTTAAAGCTGGAAAACTTATACGGAAGCAATTTGGAAGACAATGGGTACCCATATAACGCGTAAAAGCATTGGAAAAGCCGCAATCAACGGAAACATGGGCATTCGTTCTGTTCCACACAGGAATCCTACCATGTCAAAAACTCGTTCCGGGCGTGTAGCTCAGTTGGTAGAGCGTTCGCTTAGCATGCGAAAGGTCTTGGGTTCGATTCCCAACTCGTCCATACGTTTTTGTTGTTTTTATCAATTGAAATATCACTACGACGATGTTCATGCTTTTTATCATCGTTCTATAATGCTATGTGTCTAAAGCTTAGATTTACGGAGGATGTAGAACCACAATAACGTCAACGTCGCCATGGTGAGCGTAATGATCGTTGGCATTGTGGAAATCCCCTTATTTGACAGTTTGGAGACGAGCCCTACCACAAACGGGATCACCGCACCGCCACCACCACCGAAGGCACAAATAAATCCCATTGCCCCTGTATGCATGGATGCCGGCAATACTTCATAGATGCTCATGATGACAGTGGGGAATACCGGCCCCACAAATATCCCAGTGATAAACACCATTACGAAGTCAAGCGATATCACGAACCCATTGGGGTGGGTGGCAAGGAATTGAATCCCCAAGAACATCGCCATAAGCACCGTTTGCGTGAAAATGTAAAACATGTTGGCTTTAGTAGCACTGGTAAAGTAGTGGGCAGTGACAAAACCAAGTGTCATCCGGCCAACAGTTAATCCCGCCCAAAATGAGGTCGCCATCCATGATGCTATCGGGTACAGTAACCCTTTCGCTCGGAGCAAGAAGGAAACAAGCCATTGGCCAAAGGCTACTTCGGCCCCGACATACAAAAAGAGAGCCAACGCCACTAACATGGCCATTTTCAGTTTAAAAATATCGAGAATTGTCGGGGGATCTTCGTTGACGCCTTTTTGCTTGCGCATATAGTCAAATTTGGCAGGGGTCTCATACTTGAAGCTGATCAGCGTCACAATCAGCGCAATACTGGCGATGAGTGCAAGTACAAGATAATAATCATTCCATTGCCATGAGGTGTGGTGGATCAAATACGTCACCAAGGGAGGCAGAATCATACACCCAAGCCCATAGCACCCGTGTAATATCCCCAACAATTGGTTAGCATCCACAAGCTCACCCATCCACCCATTCACCCCAGCATCAAGCCCACCAAACCCACAGCCGATGAACATGTATGATAGGAGAAAGAGCCAATGGGGTGGGCGCAACAGCACCACAAGGTACAGCGCCACGAGAAACGATATCCCCAATGTCACCATTCCCCGGACACCCACCCGATTGTGAGTGGCCTCATTGACCGCTGCCATGGTGAAATAGCCCATCATCACCAACACGTAGGTCATGGACATGGTTAAATCGTTCAAATGGTAGTATTCTTGGAGCTTGGGGATGAGGGTGCCCAACGTCTGCTCACCAAGGCCAAACAACGTAAATAGAAGGTAGCATCCGAACACCTGGATCTGGAGACGTCGAGACTTGCGCCAGTCGTTCAGCTGGAGGACGACTTCGACTCCCCCATGCTCGATTACGGTGTCCATAGCGCTCGAAAGATACGAGTGCGATCGGGGTTTAAGCTACGAGGGGTGAGGCGGAGTTTTCACTGTCGGCAGTGGCTACATCGGTTTTGTGGTTACGCTGGCGATAAAGATTCCAAAAATTGTTATTCAACCAGGTAGATCAGTTAGGTCTATTTGTAAATGAACAGTTAAGGTACGTGCCTAAGCCACTCTGTTCACCTGCACAGAGGCAATCTCGGGGAACCCCACCGGCGTTGTTCCCCACCTCAGTGCCAGTTCGGAAAATTCCACCCTCGCCCCCAATTGCATGTTGAGATCGTCGTGGCTTCGAACTATGGCTTCCTCGACCCGTCCTAAAGTCCTTCGTTGCGGTAAGACCGTTTACGCCCACGATAAGTGGGATGAACTTGCAACCATGGCCGACATCGTCGAGCTCGAGCTGAAGTCGAGAGACGAATTTATCAAGGATTTAGACAATGGCAAATACGATGGCGTCACCAACATTACTCGTACGTTTATGAGTATCAAGCAAACGGGGAGATTTGACGCTGAATTGGTAAAGCATTTCCCTGACTCGGTGAAGCTGGTGAGCCACTGTGGCGCTGGTTACGACCAGGTGGACCCGGAGCCATTAACCGAACGAGGCATTCAGCTCAGTAACGTCACTAAACCGGTGGAGGCGCCCACTGCTGATACCGCCGTGTTTTTGACGTTGTCGTGTATGCGCAATTTTCAACAGGGCCACCAAGGAATGGCCCAATGGCCGCAAAAACCATTTGGCGGCGCTCCTATCGGGAGATGCCCGCTGTCTAAAGTGGTGGGTATCTTGGGAATGGGAGGCATTGGTCGGGCGATTCGTGATCGGTTGGCGCCGTTTGGCTTCAAACGGGTGATCTACCATAACCGGAACCGAGTGGCCCCTGAGCTTGAAGGCAACGCTGAATACGTGCTGAAGGACCAATTGCTCGCGGAAAGTGACGTGATCATGATCAGTGTTCCTTTGAACAAACACACTCGCCACATGGTGAATAAGGAAATGATGGACAAGATGAAACCGGGGGTGATCTTGATCAATACTGCGAGAGGGGCAGTGATTGATGAAGCGGAATTGATCAACCAATTGAAGCTGGGCAAGATCGCTCTGTTTGGTAGTGATGTGTTTGAGCATGAGCCCGAAGTACCCCAAGAGCTCATCGACATGCCTCAAGTGATGAGCTTACCACATATGGGGACTTGGTCGATTGACGCGATCAAGGCCATGGAAGAGTGGACAGTGGACAACGTCATCAGCTACATCAAGACGGGTAAGGTCAAGACCATTGTTCCTGAACAAGCCAACGAAAAGTGGTAGACGATTGAAGGTTATCATCGTCTCTATCGATAGAAGCCGTGAAAAAAACAGCATTAGATTTTAAGCTTACGTTCATAAACCCAAATACATCTCGGTGATGAACTTGCGGGTATGTCACTAATGTTAACGCTCTTCCTACAGAATTTTTGAATCTTTCGTTTTCATTACTTATATATACCGAGTTCCATCCAATTATTCATAAAATCAATCCAATTGCGAACTTTAGCAGCACGATTTGCACCCGCATTGGCAGCCTTCACCACCACAAGGTTGGCAGGCACACACTTTTGCACAGCCAGTGGTGCATTTGCAACCAGTGGCACAATTAGATGAGCACTGGCACTGCAGGCCACAGCTGTTGGTGCACGAGGAGTCGCAAGCGAAGTTAACCAATTCTGTTCTCATAGTCGTTATTTGTTTGTAGTGATGATCAAATGCTCATCCGAGGTGGCCCTTATATATCAATTGCGTTGTTTCCGCCGTACTGAGATATTTGTGCTACCTACATCTAGTGCGGGAATAGTGCCCCATGGGGTGTGACCTGAGGAAAATTTGCCACAACAGGGAGGAGTGGTGTAATTAACACGACCGGACCATTTACACCAGAAGTTCACGTTAACCTAGAGCTGTGCTTTATCTGAAGACAGACTTTACCTGCATAAATAAATCGACAACATGCAGAATCGAACCCACAACTTGTATAATGGTTTAGTTAAAAGACCGTTTCTAGTTCAGTGCATCATGAAACTTCATGGAACTCAGATAGCGAGTATTATAAGACATTCAAATTGTGATGGTCGTAGAGTAGATGACGTACTTAGTATTTCCGATCAACAGCAACATGAAATTTCTTACGTACTGCATACACCATTTTCTTGCATACACAGTCTACTCTGCATACACATTGTATCCCTGCATATAACACGAATTCAGCAATATTGCCTTAACTACTTCAAATTTGAGGTCAACTTGCCCAATGATTTATCTAAAATGCTTCTGATAATAAAGAATATTATGAGGCAAGTGGGAAGTCTGTACCAATTTTTTCTGATTTTATATCACACTTTGAAGTTTTTCGAAAGAAAATTAAGAAAAATCCCATATGTTGCTCTAGATACTATTTACACCGTATAAAACACAATGGTGTATTTAAAATCTTTTTAGGGTGTCATATGCTTGATGAAATACTTCATTGAAAATTTATGAACCATATGCACATGCAACAACTGTGTGCACAACCTCAAACTAGAATGCGTGATATCTGTATAAGCATTGCTGAAAGCACCCTCCTAAGCTTCCCAAACCAAACAGACGTGTTCAAAGACTATAAAAACGTCAACAAAATTGAGCTGGTAGCTCTGTTAGTGCCTATTTCAACTCACCTCGTTGTGTCTTGCATCTCACCAATGCACCTGCATATAGGCATTGTAAGTAGACGAAGTGACACAACTCTCTTGTCTCTGTTACAAACATCGCAGGTCAACTTCAATGCTCACTAGATGTAATAGACTACGCCACAAGCTCAGAATTGTACTAAAAAGAAATTTGCAAGAAACAAAAAGTTTTTTTTTTGGACCTAAAACCTCACTCAGATTCATCAGTTTGGAAGTGAACTCCCCCAAATTCACCTCAAATATACTTCCAGTGCCAACAAATTTTATGGAATAGAAGGTTTAATTTTATCATCTGTTCCTGATTTTATATTCAACTTTCTAGTTTTTGGGTGTAAATTAGAATGAATTCGAATTGCTGTTAGAACCACTATTTGAGCAGTACATATCACAGTGGTGTTGTTCAATTTTGTCTGGAGCCCAATTTACGTTGTTCAAAAAGTCGCTGTGAAGTTTACATGTGTCATGCAGACGAACCTCCCTGTGCAGGCATGAATTTTGCAAGCATTATAGATGTTTGTGCTAGTCATTAGCCATTGGGAAAGCTGTCAAAACGAATAGACGTCTACAGAAACTACAGTGGTGTTACTCTGAAAGAGTTAGCCACTCTGGAATCTCGTGTCACAACTCAAAGTGTTGGGTTTCGCTACTCTTTTGAACACCTGCATACAAACCTGTCAAGTAGACGAACTTTCTCTCGTAAGTTCCTGCATCCAACCATCTTGAGTAAACGAAATGTCTCTCGTGAACTCCTGCATACTATCATCTCTTTTAGACGAGGTTTTACACGTCTTTTAAGTCGATTGACTCAGTGCTGCATCCACATCGTGGTCCTACGGAAACGTAAAGTTCCTAAACTAACTCGGAATTCTGTTTAAGTCAGTCCAAATCACATTTGTTGAATACGAATGAACACAAAGTAGAATAAAGGGTAAATTTGATTGCGTTGTATAGCTTGTCAGGGCTCAAGTTACGTACAACGTAAATTATTCCAACTTTTTTTTTTTTTGACCTTTTTTTTTAAGTTTTTTCAATTTTCAATTTCTTCTTCTCGGCTGATGGGCGGTTCTACTTGGTAGCCCTTCATTATATGCTTGCAATCACTTCGATACGTATCTTGTACACCTGATTTTATTCTACCAGCAAGCGTTTCCACATGAACATCATAGGTCCCAACATCAAGTCAGTAAGCATACCAGTAGCTCTGTCTTCAATTGTGGGGTCGCCTCAATACATATTTTACACTTTTTAGGAAAGATGCAGCACCGACTCTACTTTCTTCTGGGATCGAATAATGCTTTACACGATAGTCCAGTTCCAATCGAAGGCTGGCCGAAGATGCCACCCTCGATAACTTGATCAAGGTATTCAGTTACGGAGCATTAACAACAATTACATTGGATATTGAAGGAAATACAAACCACCAGGCTGCTATCCCAGGTTTTACACCATGCTGCTCCCACCAGTTTGGGGGACTTACACTCATCTAATGTTCAGAACCAACTCCGCAAGTTCGAAGATCATACCCGTCAGCGTATTACTGAGTTTTACGTTGACCATTATGCAGCGCATGAGCGATTGCTGGCGGATTATAACTAGCTGCTATCATGAACACACATCCGATCGGGAGTATCCTATATGAGCAGGCTTTTCTTTGGCAAAGGGCGACGGATTTTGGAGACAAAAGGAGTCGCAAGTTCGACGACGTCACGTTCAAAATAGTGGGTATGTACATCATAAACACAACTTACGAACACTTGCCGCTAATTATGCTGATGGCTTTCGATTTGTATGGAGAGGGAGGGATTCAACAGTGTAAGACGGGTATCTGAGGCTCATGCCAGCGACAATCATGTAATGGAGTAACAAAGTAAGTCAAATGAATTCATTTGCTAGTCGAGACAACTCTGTCCCATCTCTTCCTCCATTGTTCGCATCAGCTCACTGCGGTCAAGCTTGCCATCGACTAAACCTGTATTAGTTGGTGTGGCCACGATAATCCAAAATCTTGCCTCACATAAGTTTCTATTCCAATTATTCTGTTTATTATAGGGTTAACGTAAGGCATTGGGGACGGACATTAACTCCGCGTGGATATAAGTATTTTACCTTTAGAGATACGAGAGATAAGAACCCTACCTTTGGAGCCACAAAACATGTCGAATGCATCCACGCTATGCCTATTCTGCATTCGTCTCTTATTACTAATTTGGGTGGAGTTGATCACGCATGATCACCGACTTCACTACTCCAACGGTAACGAGGTCGCTGGCGAATGCGGGGTGAATTATAATCACCGATAACGCCTCAATGCACATGACAAGCACCTCCATGTACCTCGGTGTAGCCCAATCACCGGTGGCTACGTCGGCGGTGTCGCTGCATGAACGTGGTCTATTTCATCCGGTAAAACGATAATCTTGTAAATCTCTACACTGCCGTGCGTGGTGAAGCCTTTTTGTGGCACTCCGGTTTTAGGCGTTAGCGGCGTGGCCGTGAGGCTAAAGTGCGAATGTTTGGCACAGGAGCGTTTGTGAGTCAGCCATCACCGAGACCGGCTCTCTAGTCACCTCCACCGACTCGGAGACGATAATAAACACGGTTACGGGGTGTTAGCGGACGCCTGAGGCTCTAGGTATTGTCTGAAGGCTTCGGGACCCCCGGAAATGGTCCCAACTGAGTAAGGTTGCGGTTTCCTCCGCACATCTCCGCGGACTAACAGTCCATCCACCACCGGTCGCACTGGCGTGGTCTCGACCCTTACGCCATCACAAATTCTGACAAACCCTACATATATCGGGTCAAATCCAGTGACGAATACCAGGGAACCATCCCTGACACTACTAGAGTGCTTAGAACTACTCAAAATGTCTATTCTAGCCCGCGTAACCGAGTTTTCAGCCGTTAATTTCCACCGCCGGAGTCGCACCGAGGCATCGGTGGGGCAGCGGTTTAAATGGTGGAGACGTCGCACGAAAATTTCACATTCCATACCCCGGCACCGGCACCACTACACCAGATACGATGACGACGCTCGCCGAACCCCATGTGTTGAAGCTGGCGGAGGAGATTGACTACGAGGCGCTCCCCGAAGACGCCTCGGTGGCGGCGCACTTGGCGGCGGGGGCGTTTGCAGGGATCATGGAGCACACGGTGATGTTCCCGTTGGACTCGATCAAGACGAGAATGCAGATGATCGGGCTGGGCCAGCTGACGACGTTGTCGCTGTCGGTGCTTGCGCTGATCCGCAAGATCTCGCTGGCCGAGGGTGCCCGCTCGTTGTGGCGCGGGGTGCTGCTGGTGGTGCTCGGCGCCGGGCCCGCCCACGCCGTGTACTTCTCGGTGTTTGAAGCTACTAAGACCCAGTTGGTCAACAGCTTGACTAACTCGCCCAAGACCAATAAGATCGTTACTGACGAAAGACACCCGATGATCGCGTCGCTCGCCGGGGTTGCTGCCACTGTGGCCCTGGACGCCTTAATGAACCCCTTCGATGTGATCAAGCAAAGAATGCAAGCGCTGTCGGCGGAAAAGAAGGTCGGCCAACAGCTGAAGGACTTCTTGAAGACGGCGGCCTCCATTTACCGCAACGAAGGGTTCGGCACTTTTTACTTGTCGTACCCCACCACTCTTATCACCAACATCCCGTTCAACTCGCTCAATTTCGGGTTCTACGAGCTCTCGCTGCAGATGCTCAACCCTGAAGGCGACTACAACCCGTGGGCCCACTGCCTCGCGGGTGGTATCGCTGGTGGTACCGCTGCCGCGTTGACCACTCCCTTGGACTGTATCAAGACCCTCTTGCAAACGAAGGGGTTGTCGGAACGGGCGGAAGTGAGACTGGTCACCGGGTTCTGGCTGGGGGCCAAGGTGTTGTACCGTTTGGAAGGGTTGAGCGGCTTCACCAAGGGATTGAAGCCGAGAGTCTTGTTCAACATCCCGGCGTCGGCGATCTGCTGGACGTCGTACCAGCTTGCCAAGGAGGTGATGCTCCGCTAGATAATGTTCTTTTTTCCTGACGACTAGGGTCTATACATATACGCCGAGGAAAGTTACCCCTTTTCGCCTCGCCGCTTACCCCCATTATGTAAATATGACGTGACAATATGACGTGATTTAGACACGATTTTACGAGGCCACCCCCGCCCCACATTTCCATTATGGCACAAAGACATGACGTAGGATGAGTCTATCCGTACCGAAGCCATCTGACGGATAAGACCTTACCCCCACTAATGATGGCAACCGACGCAGATGGTGCGGTAGCCGCGAATGGCGATGATGATGGTGATGATAAAGACTACGATGACTAAACTTCATAAACTGGCGATAAACTAACCACCACGACTACAATATCATTGACATCGATACAAATTACCAGCTTACCAAAGTCATCGCTGACTGGTGCTGATAGTTAGTGGTTGTTGTCGCCTCATTTTTTGCTAATTTTCGCACCACGTGACTTAGGGTTTCACCCCCTAGTGAGTCGCGCGAAAGCTGGGCTAAATTTTTTTCACCACCGTAGAAACCCAGGACCCACTGCCACCATGTTGATTCCCAAGGACGACAGAAAGAAGATCCACCAATACTTGTTCCAAGAAGGTGTCGTTGTTGCCAAGAAGGACTTCAACCAACCCAAGCACGACGAAATTGACACCCGCAACTTGTATGTCATCAAGGCCTTGCAATCGTTGACCTCGAAGGGCTACGTCAAGACCCAGTTCTCGTGGCAATACTACTACTACACCTTGACCGACGAAGGTGTCGACTTCTTGAGACAAGAGCTCAACATCCCCGAAGGCATCTTGCCCTTGACCAGATTGAAGACCGCCCCCGCCGAAAGACCCCGCATGCAAAGAGGTGGCCCCAGAAGAGGTGGTGACCAATACCGGAGAAGAGCCAGAGACTAGGCGGGTGGTAATAGAAAGATACGAGATAATAAATAAGTGTACATTAGACCATAAAGTAGACGCTGTGTTAGCTCTTCGTCCAGTCGTCTAGCATTGTCTAGCTTCGGTAACAATTATTCTATTACATGGTATTATTACATGTGAATATCTAACAATTATTCTATTACATGGTATTATTACATGTGAATATCTAATTAAGGTTGCTGACTTCGAAAAGGAAGTCGCTAAAGTCAATCGTCGCCACACCCTTGAACTCCTTGTCGTACTTCTTGAACACGTCGGTCAACTTGCGCAAGTACACCAACAATTCGATGAACCCGTCGAATTTGAGCTTACCCACCCCAACCAGGTACGGGTCCAGCGTGTTCTTAGCAGCAAACCGGGTGAATAAGTGGAGCACCAAGTCGGTGTTGAGTTTGTAGCCGATCTGTTCAAGTACTTTTTGGAATTCGCCAAAGGAAATGTCCCCCAGCCGGTTCTGGTCCGCCTGAATAAAGAGTTTCTTGTATGCCAGTAAATACTTCCACAACAGCACAAACTGGTCAAAATTGAGCAGCTGGCCGTCACCACTGCCGCCACCAGGCAGAGTGCTAAACAACTTAATCATGAGGCGAATGGTGGTGGGGTTAAACGGCAGCCGGTCAAAATTGAGGAGTGCCAGACTCAATTCACGAGCAGTGATAGTGCCCAGGCGGTCAGTGTCGACTTTGTCGAATACCGCCCTCAATTCTTGGTCGAGTTTCTGCTTTTGCAGCTGTTTCAGCAGCGTCAGATCCAGTGTCAGGTGAGGCTTAACTGGAGCTGGGGGCGCTTCATAACCACCGTGTGACGGCAGCGAGTGCGATTTCAGCATCGGAGCAGGCGCCGGCTGCTGGTATTGCGGGGGCTGGTACGGTTGAGACTGCAGATACAGCGGCAGCTGTTGCACCGGCGGTTGTTGGATAGGGGGTTGATTGTAGCCTCCCGAGTACTGAGGAGGGTTAGCGGGCGGTGCCAGCAGTGCCAGAGCGTGGCGGGGCTGCTCCCGTGGCGGTGGCGGCTGGTGATGGTGCAGTTGCTGAGGCGGGGGTGCCTGGTGGTTATAGTGCTGTTGAGGCGGGGGCGCTTGAGAATGATGGTCATGAGGCTGTGAATGGTGTCTTTGTTGTTGCTGAGGAGGCGGCGGCTGCTGGTAGCGAGACGACAGCGGCTGGTACGATGGCGAATATGCCGGTTGCGCCAGTGCCTGCGCCGGGGGAGGAGCGTACGACGACGACGGCGGCGGCTGGCTGTAGTTCTGAGTCAGGGACAGCTTGTGGTGGGGTGGCAGCTGGTTGTACCCCAGTTGCTGTTGGTATTGAGGGTACCCGTTCTGAGCTAACGCTTGCGGCGACGGCTGGTAGGGAGCGTAGGGCTTCAGCAGCGACAGCAGGGGTTTCTTGCGCGACGGCTGCAGCTGCGACAGCAGGCTGGCCCCGTAGACGGCCTGTTGGGGAGTTGGGTATATCGGCAACTCGTCCATAGGGTTGGGTGGGGGGAAGAGCCTGGGGTGAGGGGTTAAGTAGGTGCCTTGACGGCTTCAGTGCGCGCGGGTGTCGCGGTCACGTGCCGATCGCGACCTTCCGCAAGCGTCCAAATGCTAAAAAAAGGAGAATCGAGACCTTCGGCGGACAGAAGCAGTAGGGCGCGCAAGGGATAGACCCGCGTGGAGGCAAGGCTGTCCAACCACCGGAACATTTAGAAGTGTGGTGAGTGTGGTAAATTTGGTATAGCTGGAGTAAAATTGGTAGGCGACTTAGTCGCGCTTCCTGGTAGTTGTCAGTGGCTACGGGTGGCTGGTCACCAAGGGGACGGGGACGCTTCGCCATGGGTCACTTTCGAAGATGATGCCCCGGCCACGACAGCATGACTGATACGAGAACGAGTTGTTTCCGGTCATGCTGTTTCAGCCGCCTCGTGGTTTGCTTTGGTGAGAGCCTCAGCCACTTCACAGCCTTGTAGATTCACAAAGGCTAGAGCAATTGGGGTCGGGTCGGCGGCGCGGCTAATTTGGGATACTCCAACTGTTTTCTAGTTTGAGAAGAGAACGCAGACAGTCCCAAAGAGATGTAAGTGTCAATGGTGCCGTCAATTATAAACCACCAATATAGTATAGTCAGTAGATGATTGAAATTAGTTATTTATCAATCATGGCTAGTGCTCACGCCACCGTTGTTTCGTCTACTGTGGGAGGGTGGCTTTTCAGGCAGTATACGAGAGTGAGGCTTTGCGGGTAGTCTGGAATTCAGCGAGAAACGAACAAAAATCGTGAGATTACTCGAACGAGTGAGAAATCACTTATATAGAAAAGGTAAGACAGGAACACAAAATATTCCAAGATTGACGACGACGTCGAGATCGCCCTGGCGAATCTCACTTGGAGATACGAATGGGTATGTCTTCAACCGGGGCACGTAACTTACTCCGGCTCGTCTCCACTTTTGGTAGCATTTTAGCTTTAGCCTGTCTTAGGTCACTGGCGTCACTACTAGTAGTAGGCCTCAGATTTGGCGGCGATCACCGGATATACCCCGCGGTTAATTCCACAAAGATAAGCCGTTGGAGAACGAAGCCAATTGTATAAACTAGTAGCTAAGACTCCCCACTTAACCGTACATTCCCCAGATTTGCCACCGGTGACATCATCTGTCGGTGTTTGCCCCCCTCCCGACGCCGGCACCCCGGTGGCGTCGCACTTTTCACGACCGCACCGCTCTTCGTTCACTATGAGCGACCAGTCGGGGCACACGCCGCTTCGGGCGCCCAAGCCGCTTCGGGGCCAGGTCGATATCCCCAGAGTGGCTCTGCACACTCAATTGGCTCCCGACCTGGTCCCCCCTTCGGGACCCACCGACCGCCACTACACCCAGTCCGCCGTTCCCCACCCTCCTAATTTCATCACCCGCCGTCCCCTGTACTCGACGATTGAGGACTCCCGGGAACGCCACTACCATCTCGACTACCCGCTTGACCGTAACGAGCTTATCCGCGATCAATTGGACCCCCAGCTGCCGTTCTACGCCCGCGACCACCCGCGCACCTTGGACTTGCCCCTGATGCTCCCCTACGCCATCGAGCTGCCGCGGGACCAGGCCAAGTTCTTGGCCCACATCGTGGCTCACTTGTACCTTGCCATCAAGACTTGTGACATCCAAGGGCTGCTTCCAGTGACGGCTAAAGATCTTGCCGATATCCGCGACGCCGTCGGGGTGCTGGACGTCGACTTAGCCCTAGAGACTAACTTATTTGTTAGTAGCGGAGCCGATGTCGATGAAGCCGAAGGGGAAATTAAAGATACCATCGTGTTTGAAGGCGATGACGACCTGGATGACGATGACGACGATGATGACGACGACGAAGTAATTGAAGACGCGGGTGACGCCAATATGGGTTCTCTGGCCACACTGCAACATAAAAAGCTGCCGAAGCTGGCAGCCGTGGTCGGGGTACGCACCTGGACACAAGAACTTCTTGTGTGGCTTAAAATGAAGTATGATATGCCCATCAAGTTACGCATTGCGTTGGCCAAAGTGTACTACGCTCTTTGTCTCTGTCGCGGTCAAGAAATCAATTTAAAGATCTACGTCAAAGCATTTGAGACGTTGACTAAACACACTCGATTCATGGCGTCTCAGGGACTCGAGCTTGCGTGGCGTCCGCTTTATCTTGAGGCCCGCAACCATCTCCCCCTGGAGGACCTGATTTCAGGCCCGGTGGAAGTGAAAGACCAAAAGCAATTGCTTCGTTTAGCTACGCGAGCCCTGTATTTCTTCCCGAAAGATGCTACTCCAGAGATCTTCGACGCCGTCGGTCATCATATCACCTTTGCCAACGCGCTGTTTGTGGTGCTGGCGCTTTGCCTTGTACCTAACCGTTTCGGTGTTAGCGCTGAAGAGGCCAGCGACGCTCGCTTCTATCTCGACCCGTTGTTCTACGTGTGGCGAAAGCTCAACAAAGTCCAATACTTTGAAGACCAAATGTCCCTGAAAGTGGGCGGGCTCGCGATGGAAGCACTTTTCCAAGGTCAAGCTAAATTGGGCGACTACGGTATCTTCACTGAAGATCAGTACACTTTCGTCATGAACAATTGCATGAATTGTTTACTGATTAATTCAGATAAGTTTGGTCTGCAGCGGCTGAAATACTTCCACGGTTTCGCTCTGATCATGGTCTATCTGATAACTCCGGCCAATCTGAAGGTAACCGTGCCTTTACTCGCCACATTGTTCAACTCGATCGAACTGTTTGGGTTCCCGCTGAACTCAGGTGACTGGTCGCTGCCGATCTCCAAGTTGGTGTATGCGTTGTGTCATCAATTGCAAAAGCGTCGCAATCTCGAAGTTAGTGGCGACCACCATTACCACTTCGTGGAGGAGTATAAGCTTGACTCTGCCACCATCGACGCCATCGTCGCCATCTTGTTACCCATGGTGCGCACGGGGATCCAACTGAAATCGCTGAGTGTCGTCGACAACCACTTATTACTGTTGGGAGTGTTAGCTCAATTGCTGCCGCAACGTGTACTTGAGGGTGTCACCAACGACTTGTACGAGCTGTTGGAAGGTCTCATCTCCACCCACAGAGTGCTGATCGCCCTCAGACTGATAGAAGTGCTTGCCCGGTACATGGCCTCCACTCCCGTATTCAGAGTGCATCTTGTTCGTTTGTTGCTGATGGCCCTCCCGGGAATTGATCTGAACGATTTGGTCAAAACTATCCACACATTGGACGTGTTTGCCACCGTGGCAAACTTCGTTCCCTTTGCCGATCTCAGTGACGGTAACGGTGACTCTCTGCTTGCGATTAATTACACACTGGATCACCTCGAGTTCTTGAGATTATCAGTGTACCTGCCGCCTGATCCCGAGGCGGCAGCGCCTTTCCAAGACGTTGACCTCGAAAAGGAGGCGTTGGTGCTGGCGCTGCTGCTGTTCCCGGTGCTCATGAAACTGTTTTGCCAGCGTTTATTTGTGCTTTTGGAGAACATCCCTGATCCTAATACCAGTGTGGGTCTCGAAAAAGACGTTACCGATTCTCTTCCTAAGTTCGTCTATGTGCTTGTGGAAGCGCTTTCCGATGAGCTCTTTGCTCTCGTGAGACAAGAGATCTTTGACTGGGTGTTCTCAAATACTATTCACACTGTGGCCGAAGTAGCTGGTGAAATCTGCGGGGCTTTGATCAAGCGCGAACCCAGCTATTTCAGCAAAGTGTATCAAGTATTGAAGGACAAAATCAAGGAGGAGATCGATGAAAACGGTGCTGGGAAACTGCGTACCGGGCTGGATATCGTACCCCGTGATCAAGCTCTTTTCTGGAACTTGATTATGCTCAATGAATGTATCGGTAATGCTGGCAGCGAGGTGCGCAAACACGGCGTCTCTCTCACCAAGTTCTCGTTATACTTGATGGACAAAGTAAAGGGACCGGCGATCTTTGCCCTGCTGTACATCGTCAACCAGATGCTCCTTGCCACCACTAAGATCCGTCTTGCGGAAAACCGGTTATTTGACCCCACTCAGCCAGTGACAATCGACACCTGGACTCCTGACTTGCGGGCTAACCGCGACTACCATTTCAACTGGTACCTCCCTCTGGAGACGGACATTGACTTTGCTGTCGATTGCTTTGCTCAACACGTGCAACGGACGTTGGACAATGTGCGCAAGCTCATTGCGCTGCACCCGGCGCTGGCGCCTAAGACCACGGCGATGAGTGATGAGTTCCGCCTGAACTTATTGTACTTGTGCTTTTCGTTGCTGGGGGTACTGTTCTTGCTTGACCCTCTGTTTGACGAAGACATACCTAAGCTTGATGAACCGATCGAACAGAGACTCTTGTTGCTTAAGCATATTCGGGAACAGGGTGGCTCGAAGAGTCATGATAAGAACTACCACGTGGAAACCACCGAACTCGAACGGATCGTTGACGACATTAAGGACCACGTGATCGAAGTGGGTCAATTTGATGATGATTTGGAGGCAATGATTGTTCCTAAGGGAGGTGAAGACATCGAGGAACCTGCACCCACTCTGCGTCTGGACCGTTTATCCGCCTTGAAAGAAGAAGATCTTCTGCTGCGTTCGGCTACTCCGGCTGTTGACGGTATGGTGGTGCTGTCGATGAACCCTGCCATCACTTTCCGTGAGCGCAAACTCTACACGCTGAACTACTACTTCGGCGATGAAATTGACCAGCGTCGACTGCTGGCACGTTACCTCCAGCTCCACCGCACTCGTCAATTGATCGGGAAGTCGTTGCACATAATCTGCAAGTACTTTGTCGCCAATTTCAGCGAGAACACCAAGTTGTTCAAACACTTGTTGTATGTGATCAATGTTTATTTCAGTGATGTTGGCCGTGAACGGGTGTTGGATCCGTCCCACGCTCGCATCAATTACGGTTACATTAAGTGCATCCAGGAAGTCAATCGTGTACGCAAACCGTATACGAGAATGGCCGTGGGTGCTCGGTTAGAGCAGTATCATCAATTGAGAGTTGCACTCCACGCCACTCTGCGCAATCAAACTCCTTTGGATAAGCTTTTGATTGAGGACATTGTAAAGTTGCTGGTATCACCCTACGCTGACATTGCTCATGCCGCGCAAAACCTTGTCGGCGACGTGCTTAAACGGATCAATGGGCTGTACGCTACCTTGGTCAAGGGGGCATTACGGGCGATGACTCGGGCTTTGGATGAAAAGCTGTTCTTGAGAGTGCAACTGGGTTTGGGACTTTTTGACGTCAAGCGCGTGAAGCAAAAGATCCAAAACGACTACATGTACATTGAACGGTACATTGATATGCTTCAACGGTGTATCGCCGAGGTGGACGAGATTCCCGAGGTTCAAGCCACCGCTAAGCTGCTTTACCAGCTGGCTACCGACCACTTGACGCCGCCACTGCTGGTGTGTCTTGTTGACTGGCAGCTTATTGACGCTATTCGCCCTCCGGATGCCATGATTGATGTGGAAATCGCCGCAGTTCGTGCCGCGAAGGAACGGAAACGTCAAGTGTACATGGATAAGCTCGCGAGTCTCGAAGAGCTTGTACTTAAACACCTGTTACTGACGACGGTGTGGTGGAACCAAATGATCCACATTTTGTTGTTGCTGAACCTTCAAATCGACTTAAACGTGCCGACGCTGGCTAAAGTGCTTGTGAGATTAGCTCAATTAGCTGGGCTGGATCACCCTAACATTCTGAGGTTGGCGCTGAAGGGGTTGACCAATGTCGTCGATAAACTCTATCAGTTCCAGCTGGTGGACTACACCTTGGCGAATGCATACAATTTAGAGTTTGTACCTCACGGGATTGCTGAGGTTTCTACTCAAGGCAGCGAGTTCACTCAGCAATGGCACAATGTCTTATCGGGAGACCCCAACCCGCCGTTCTACATGGACACTAAACCACTGCTGGGTTGGTTGTTCTGGGGTGATAAGATGCGGGTGATGCCTAAAGATCCCGAACTGTTAGCACGTCTATCGGCTCGCGACAAGCGTCTGTTGACGGCGTTGAAGCCTTACTTGACGAAGGAATGGTTTGTCGGTATTGTCAAGTTGTGGATTACCGAAAATGAACTGAACTTAGCTTTCCAAGGGTCTGACGCTACGTTTATCGCTCTGTTAGTGATGCTTGTGGCTAATGGCTACGCTGAATTCACTTGCACCGAGCTCTTGGGGGTGGTTAATCAAGTGTACGACAAGGATGAAAAGGCCACCCATATGCTTTGTTGTGAAATCATAGCGGGTGTGCTTACCGGTAGTCACGTTTCTGACCCGACATTTGCTGATGAACGCGATACTACCATCACCGCTTTCTTGACTCAAGTGTTTGATGACTTGACTCCCGACACTAAAGAGATTTGGAACATCTTTTCGTGGTGGCTTCCTCTGCACGTTGATGTCCACCGGTTCCCTAAATTGTGGGCGTTGTGGACTCAGGTGGACATTGCTGGTTTGCTGGATCTGCTGATTCGTGTGATCGCCCCGCGTATCGGTTACCTTCGCCTGGTGTTGGTGCTGCTTTCGTGGATGATTCCCAATCCTGACAAATACTTGGAGTTCTGCCTTGATCATTTGAACTACCGGTACGATACTATTCGTAACCAGATCGGGCTGATGTTGGCAGTGCTTTCATTTGCATTCTTCAGTGATACCAGTCCCAACGTTGAACAGTTCATTAAGGATACGAAGTCTCAAAGTGATCTGCTCGTGCTTTACCGCGACGCTAATGCCAATGGGTTCCTCAAGGCTGTCCCGGAGATCTTTGAGCGAGTGGAACGTGAGCGGCTCTTGGTGATTAACAAATCGGTGGAAGAAATTGTATACTCAGATTACGTGTACTGTGCCACGACAATTCTCACGTGGTTGCGCTACCAGTTAAAGACTAGTGCTGGCGTGCTTTTGGGTCCGTTTGTCGTTGAGCACATTGTGCCGTTTTTGCTTAAAGTGACGGAGATGAAGGAAGTGTGTCAGTGGGGTAACATTAATCCCGTAACCGTATTCAAGCGGGTGCTGCAGCTTCCATTCAACGATGAACAATTGGAACAAGTGGTGGCGATGCTCGAACAATACCAGGGTACGTTGAATGTGGTGCAACTGATTATCATGGGTGAGTTCACGGAGACAGTATTCTTCGATAACTTATTCCGCCTTTCCCGCGAACAACGGGCGCGGATGGTGGCAATGGTGTACCAGCTTTTGTTCAACAAGTCGGTGGAAGTGAGAGAAGCGTCGGCACTGACTTTCTCTGGTTTGATCCACATGACGCCTCCGGATGAAGTTGACGACTTGATCAAAACTTACAAGGCAAAACTCATGGCTACCATCGACAGTGTCCGTCGCTTACACCGCAAGACGAACTTCAAACAACTTACTCCCGAGGACCAGACCCAACTCCACGGCGCCGTGCTTGGTCTTGGTGCACTCGTGGACGCGTTCCTGTTCACTCTGCCGCCGCCGCAGTGGGTGGCTGAGATCTTGGCGAAGTTGGCGATCCGGGCATCGGGGATCCCCGGGGTGACGGGGAAGACTGCCAAGGCGATTTTGGGTCGGTTCAAGAAGAACCGTCAAGATACCTGGCACGTCGATCTGAAGGTGTTTTCCGAAGAGCAAATGGAGGACTTGGAAGGGGTGTTGTGGAAGTCCTACTTTATCTAAACGCATTAGACATATTTCTAGACAGACTATTGTAGATGGCTGCAGAGTAGATACACGACGCAATCGCTATAAAGCCACCTTATCGCCAATAGCAATAACGTACTATAAACCTGAGTATGTCGAGCCTGCCGCTGGTGATATCCATGCTTACTCGGGCGGAACTGACGGTGTTGGCGTCGCCTAAAGTTCGCGATCGCGTTCGTGCTTGGGACCATAAAGATAAACCGGTGACCAAACGCAATTATGCCGAGGTCATCAAGCTTTGCGTTCCTTTTTTGACTCGAATCGAGTGTAAGGGGCTTCTTGGTCTCTGTCGTGACGTCCACACCGCAGTGGTGGCTCGTTTGATCGCCCGAATGCTTGTCACTGCTAGTCCTCTGCAAATCACAAAAGCGCCGGATATTTCCATCATCTCTTATCGTTTGCTCTATCGACTCATTAATTCGGGGCCGTTACACCGCGTGAAACAACTCTACCTTCACTCGCCTCCGGTTTCACAACAGTTTACTGATAAACTCTGTCAATTGATCCCTCAGGCAGTGGTGGTTGTTATTGGGTTTTACGATGTCGATAAAGCTACCCTTAATACTGATTTTGAAGTGGAACTGGGCCACGGAGCTGTGGCTCAGTACCTCAACCCGAGTCCCGTACGCTATTCGCTTGACCACCTGCCTATGAGTTTTGCTGTGGACAATTTGACGTTGTGTAACGTTGAATTCTCTCGGTTATCGCTTAAAAAGCCAATTTTGAAACCAAGTAAGCTTACGTTGATGGGGGAGATGGATGTCCAGGTGATGTCGTTGATTGATTTGGAGCAGGTGACCCATTTAGCAGTGTACACACCTCTGCCCATCGCCTTACTTCTTCCTACTCAAGCCAATAATATTGAGTCGCTTTCCCTCTGTGTACCCAACCCACTCCGATTCCTTCTTTCGTTGAAAGAAGGGTACTTGTCCCATCTTGAAATCTACTTCCGAACCCAACCCCCTCCAAAGCAAACGGAACTGTGCCTATTGAATCATGCTGATACGTTAACTACCGTGGCACTCAACTCGTATACTACCGAATTATGTGCTGATCCTTGGCTCGACGTTCACTGGCGTACCAAACCTCTAGACTCCAAGTCTAAATTGTGGGGCGAGGAAGTGGTGGCGACAATGAGACAAACCCCACGCAAATACCCTCAACTCGAAGCGGTGACCGTGGACAACGTTAAATACCAAGTGGGTCGAGTATTGGGGGACTGGGTATACACCAACGGCGTGTGTCAGTAGTAGATCGTGTATGCACTATATTACAGAGATTAGATGGTAGATTTTTCGTCCTAATAGTCGTCCTCATTGTTGTTCAACAACGCCTTAAGCGCCCATTCGTCCTTGAAGCGGGTCTTGATCACGTCCAACTCGCTAATCAACAGCGAGCACGCGTTGCGCAACGCCTCCTTGGGCAGGTAGTCGTCCTCGGTCTGGATCCGCAACTCGAAGTTGGCAAACAACGGGTGGGGGATCTTGTAGGCGGCAAAGATGACCTTGTCGTCCTTCAAAAGCTGGGCCCGCAACAAGTTGGCCAAGGTGTGGTCCTCACGCTCGATCTTGACGATGGCGGCGTTAGGCACCTTCGTGTCCGGGGTGATTTTGATTCTGCGGTTAATACGGCTCAAAGCATGATTGAATAGTCAGGAAAATACTCACTTGTCCACGCCATCAGGGAGGATGAACAACTCAAACCGGTCGGGAGCGTTCATGGTCGAGTGTGCTGCCCTAGTGTAGGTTTGATGGACGGAGTGAAATTTGGGGCACGTGACATAAAACCTGCGCGCGCTCGCTGCCTGCCTGCCTGCCTACTGCTTGGGCGTCGTTCGAGCCACGAGGGGAAGGCGGCCTCAGAACGTCAATGACCGAAATAGTACGAGGGGACATTAACCTCCAACGCAACCCCTCCACAAGACTACCAAAATGGAATCGTCTCAAGGCAATTTGACCTCATACCCAATACAATGAGTAATTTCCAAGTCAGTTGTGATCTCCTTTGATCTCATCGACTTCTGGGGTGATTGCTACGGCACCCATCGTGTCTCCGTTGACCCCCCCCATCCACATCCTGCACACAGACCTTAAGACCTCAATCCACACACACACCCGAACTCACCCTTTTGCCTCTCGCACCGACAGCCGTCCCTATTGCCCCAGCCGCAATCTAAGGGTCCACTGAATAGCACCATTTCTCGGTCAAATCACTCTAAAATTCATCCTACAGATAACCTTAACCCACTACACCTCTATCCACGCCATATCCAATTCGATTAAACCCCTCAGGTCCCCCTATTTCACCTATACCCCCCTTTGTATCCGGCGCCGGCGCTCCGCTCCGGGGCGCGCGACTCTTCTTCTCAATCTAAGCCGCTCGCCGCTTTTCACCCATATGACCAACCAGCTGTATCCCTGGAACAACCAGCGGCCGTTGGGCCAGCAGTTCAAGTAAGTAACATATCCAAATGAAGATGGTTTCATGTGAACGTCATACTAACGGGTTTAGTGGTCCCCGCCCTCCCGTGTTGCCGCCGCCGGCGACGTTGGAGACGGGGCTTTTGGGCCACCCCCAGGGCCCGTTTCCCCCGCCGCAGCCACCAGCCCAGGACTCGGCCCGCCTGCCGTCGCAACAGTTCTACCCGCTACCACTGCTCCATTCGTTGGGCAACGGCGCCAGTGTGGCGCTGGGGTACCAGATCCCCCTGATCAACCTGGCCATCGACGACGCGCGCCCCCTGGCTCCCACCGCTCCGTTGCCGCCGCCGCTGCTGATCGTCGGCGTCAGTGAAGTAGCGCCGTTGGCTGAAGCTAACCGCCTGGCCACCACCAACGTCTACCGCACCTTAAACGTCAAGGATGCGTTGCTGTACTTGGACCAGGTGAAAATCAAGTTTTACCTGCAGCCCGACGTCTACAACGACTTTTTGGACATCATGAAGGACTTCAAGCTGCAGCTGATCGACACCCCGGGGGTGATCGACCGGGTGCTGACGCTTTTCCGGGGCCACCCGGGGCTCATCCAGGGGTTCAACACCTTTTTACCTCCCGGGTACCGCATCGAGATCTCACTGGACCCGCAGGACCCTAACCCCGTCAGAGTGATCACCCCCACCGGTACCACCACCCCCGCCACCGCCGCCGCCGCCTCCGCCGCCGCCGCGGCTACCACCACTCCGGTGCTCAAACAGGAGGAGAAACCGTCGGTACAGCCGCTTCCCCAGCCGCAACAACCGCAGCAACCAGTGCTGCTGGCGGCTACCACCAGTGAAGCTGCCGCGGCGTCTCAGGTTCCCGGAGGCCAGATCGAGTTCAACCATGCCATCAACTACGTCAACAAGATCAAGACCCGTTTCGCCAATCAACCGGATATTTACAAGCAATTTTTGGAGATTTTGCAGACGTACCAGCGCGAACAGAAACCCATCGGCGAGGTGTACGAGCAGGTGACGGTGCTTTTTGCCAACCTGCCGGACTTGTTGGACGACTTTAAGCAGTTTTTGCCCGATACCTCCAACCAGGCCGCTCAGGCTCAGGCGCCGTTGGCTCCTCAACAACAGCAGCCAGTGCCTCAGGCTCAACCTCAACCGGCTCAACCGCAGCCGTCGCAACAGCCGGGTTTCACTCAGCCTCAAGCGCACGTGGCTAATGGCTACTACGTCAATAATGGCCAAACCCAGCCGCTTCCGCCTGTAGGTAACTTCCAACAACCGCTCCAAGGTCCTCCTGGTGAATATCACCATGGCTACCAAGTGGCCACCGCTACTGCCGCGGCGCAACCTCATTTGCCTGAGCCCAAAGACGATAAGAAGCCCGTTGCCGGCGCGGTAGTGGCGAAACCGGCGAACCCTCTGCTTGTTCCTGGGGTTCCTGAACCGATGCCGTTGGCGTCGCAAGTAAAGACGCTGCTGCTTTCTGAAGAGATCTCATTCTTCGATAAAGTGAAGAAGGCCGTCGGCAACAAACAGACCTACAACGACTTTTTGAAGGTGATCAACTTGTTCTCGATGGACATCATCGACAAGCCGACGCTTGTGGAACGGGTGGAAGGCTTTTTGGGCGACTTGCACCCGGACTTGATGCAATGGTTCAAAATGTTCATTGGCTACGACGAGAAGCCGTTGCACATTGAGGATATCACTTTCAAGAAGCACCAGCTCGAGCTCTCGTTGTGCAAGGCCTACGGTCCCCTGTACCGTCAACTCCCTAAGGCTGAGACTTACATGCCGTGTCTGGGTCGTGACGAAATGTGCTGGGAAGTACTTAACGACGAGTGGGTGGGTCACCCCACCTGGGCCCTGGAAGACCTGGGGTTCATTGCCCACCGTAAGAACCAGTACGAAGAGATCCTCTTTAAGATCGAAGAGGAACGGTTGGAGTTTGACTACTTCATGGAGGCTAACTTGCGCACCATCCAAACCCTCGAGACCATTGCTAACCGTATCGCCAACATGACCCCGGAACAAAAGGCCAACTTCAAGCTTCCCCCCGGGTTGGGCACTACTCTGCAAACCATCTACAAGAAGGTGATTCGTAAAGTGTACGACAAGGACCGTGGTTTCGAAGTGATCGATGCTCTTCACGAAAACCCTGCCATTGCTGTGCCTGTGGTGCTCAAGCGGTTGAAGCAAAAGGATGAGGAATGGCGTCGGGCCCAGCGTGAATGGAACAAAGTGTGGCGTGAAATGGAACAAAAAGTGTTCTACAAGTCGTTGGACCACTTGGGGCTCACGTTCAAGCAAGCCGATAAGAAGTTGTTGACGGTGAAGCAATTGGTGCTGGAAATTTCTACCGTCAAGGTCGAACAACACAACAAGCGTCTTCACCCGCTCACCCCCAAGCCTCAAGAACAGTTGGTGTACCAGTTCGTTGACTTTGATGTGGTCGACGACGTCCTCCGCTTAGCTGACGTATTCATCACCAAGCTGCTGAACTACCTGGCGCTGGACCGGGAAAAGCTTGTCCAATTCCTCCGTGGTTTCGTCGATGTATTCTTTGGTCGTGACACCACCACCGAAGGGGTCAACGGCTCCTCGCGTAAGCGTAGCCGTGACGAACCTGTGTTGCGTGAAGTGCTTAAGCGTACGGGCAAGCGCGACCTGCCGGGTCTCTCCCCTTCTTCCGAAGACCACGACGATACCTTGGAAGAAGTGGTGGATAAGCTGAAGGAGTTGTGGATCAAGACCACCGCCGTCAACGCTGCTCGCGGCTCGGCCCCTGAACGCCGTGACCGCTACAACTTGTTCTGCAACACCGCCGTGTACGTGTTCTTCCGCCACTTGCGTACGCTTTACGAGCGTCTTGATGAAGTCAAGCGGATGAACGCTGACGTCGCTCGCGAGATCGTGCTGCGCAAGGTACCCCAGTTTGCTAAAGACCTCAACCTTGTGTGCCACCAATTAGAGGACCAAGGCGTACAAATCGACGGCAACGAAGACTGCTACCAGCAGGTGCTTTCGCTTTCAGAAAGACTCATCGAAGGGGAAATCGAACACCAGTGGTTTGAAGAGCTGTTGCGCCAGGGCTACCGCAACCGCGCCTACAAGTGCTACACCATCGACAAGGTGGTGCAGGCGATGGTTAAGCACGCCCACCTGATTGTCTCCGACACGAAGACGCTGGAAATGATGTGTGTGTGGGAGCAGGACCGGGCGCAGCCGGTGCTGCTGGCCAAGGAGCAGATCTTGTACCGGATGCAAGTGCGCCACTTGATGCTGCCGGAAGAAAACATGTTCAACATCGCCTACACCCCCGACACCACCACGGCGGCGGTGACGTTCGTGGCGTTGGACGACTTGACGATCAAGGACCACACCAACGTCGAGGAACAGTACAACTACTACGTGACGCTGTACATCATGGCCCACCCCACCGAAGGGGTGCCTGCCTCCAAGCTCTCGATGCCGTTTGCTAAGCATGTCATTGAAGAAGTAAGCGACGATCAGTGCGAAGGGCACGTCACTCTGGGGCTCAAGGTGCTGATATGTCCCCGTCTGTACCGGTTGTTCTTTGACGCCGACACTTTTGACGAGTTCACCGCTAACTACGTGTACTCCAAGTCAACAGCGCCTCCAGTGGATCCCCAAGAACGTATCAAGCAGTTGCTGGAGCTTGTGGACGCTGAACGGGAAAATGACGACGGCGACCGCTTAGTGCAAGTGTTGTTCAACGAGGGAGTGGAAAAGTACCATGAAGCCACTCGCTCTGAGGAAAAGCATAAGCAAGACCAGGCCGACGCCGAAAACGCTGAACTGGCAGCTCAAGCGAATGAGGAAGCCCACCACACTGAAGCTACCGCCAATGATGCGGCTAAGCAACCTTCGGCCGAACCTCAGCAACAACCCACTGAACCCGAAGATGCGACGATGGAAGATGCTCTGGAAGTGCCTCAACAAGCCGCTATTGTTCAACAACCCGAACTGAGCGAGCAGGCCCAACCTGAGCCCAAGGAATAGGTTGCCGAAGAACACCAACAGCAAGAACGTCAACTGTCGGCCCCGGTTGAAAACGAAGCGCATGCGAACGCTTCTTCGGCTGCCGTTACCGAAAGTGTATCCGCTAATACCGGTGCCTCGGCTCCTCAACTGGCCACTCAAGAGAACAAGTCAGAGCCGGTTGCAACTGAAGGTGATAAAATGGAGGTAGATGGGGAAGGGGCTCCTGAAGCTAGCACCACTGAGTAATTTTGACGATGATGACGGGAGCCTACCTATTATGTACATGTACTATTAATTGACGAAGAAAACAGTTCCGTTTGTTGATTTAAATAAAATACGAGATTCATGTCGACGTGTGTGTTGAATATGTAGACTAGAGCGTAGACAGGAGGAAGTGCTCATTGCAACATTCTGTGGATCTGGTCATCCTTGAATTGGGCCAAATTGTCCAACTTGTTCCACCATTGGAACAAAAACTTCTGGCAGATCAACTTGAACCAGGGGGTAAACACCAAGTTCAGGTCCTGGAACATCTGTTCCAATTCCGCTTGCGACACCCACTTGAAGTCTCTGACCTCGTTGTAGTTAGCGTCGATGGTGAGGCTGTTAGGCACCTTACCGATCAAGATGTAGTCGATTTCGTGTTCACCCCACTTCGAGGTGGCGTCTCCCAGCGGCGACATGTAGTGGATTCTCGTCAAGAACTCGAAGATGTCGACGGGGATTTCTTGAGGGGGGATCCCCAATTCGTGCTCCAACTTGCGCTGAGCAGCGTTCTTAGCACCTTGGACGGCGTTTTCCAACGCGTTAACATCGTCGGCACCAGTCAGCACCCCGAGCTCTTGCGGCACACAAAGAGGGTGGGAGCAGCAGGTGTTGGTCCACATGTTAGCGAAGGTGATCTTCTCATCGGCGCGTTGTTGAAGCAAAAGCTTACCGTCCTCGTTGAACAAGAACACCAGGAACGCCCGGTGCAACAACCCGTCGTTGATATTGTCCATGATGTGACACAACTTCTTCGTGCCCAGCCCCACCGGCTGGTCGTTGTAGTCCAACACGATGCACAACTCCTCCATCAACTTGATCTGCTCCTCATCGTGGCCCGCGAAGAGCTGGGTGTCCTCCTTCGACAGCGTCAGCCCAGCTGACCGGGGGATCCCCGACACCTTGGACAACGGCGTCACGTCGGACCACTTGGCCAAAATGTCTTGAGGCGAAAGCGCCTTCACGGTCTGTTCGTACAGTTGGGTCATGGGTACGACGAAAATTGAGCGGGAACGACAAGAAGTGAGCGCACTGGCAGGACGTGCAGCCGTACCCCGGGGAGACACATAACGACACCAGCGGGGAATCATCACCGAGCTAGCAAATGGCGTGGGAAATAGGGGGAACTGGTAGGGGAAGATTGGCGGTATGTCTAGCAAGCGACAAGTGGGGTAACTGGAGCTCGAGGCACGCGTGAGGCTCTGACTACTAAATAGAGTTAGAAATCAAAGTAACTGAAATTAATCGCGCGTGAACAAGTAATCTACGAAGTGTAACAATTATGGTCGTGATTTTAAGCCGAAGGTCCGAGTCAATTTACTATGAAACACGCTTTTGGAAATTTGTCTTGGCCATGGTGCTCATCGTATACCGCGTCCTTCGATTACGCGGCTGGTGTGGGTCTGCCGCCTAATGGGGAAGGTACATCCGCAAAAAGAACCGGGCAGAACACTTGTGCGACACCCGTAAATCTGTAGATAGTTACCATACCAGAACCTTGCTCAGTAATATTAATGTTGAAGATGAATTCTATACCTTCAATAACTTCGAAGTAAATCAAAAACGCAAAAAGATTACATGGACGAGTTGGGAATCGAACCCAAGACCTTTCGCATGCTAAGCGAACGCTCTACCAACTGAGCTACACGCCCTTGATGACGTCATACGTAAAATTGTACGTAAGCCTGAGCAAGAATAAATTAGATGGATGTAAATCTTCGTATGCTTGGCTCACCATCAATTTGAAACTCTTCATGAGGCTAACTTGATTGTTAGTCCAGTTTTCGACCATGCGTTACCGGTTTAGATGTCAGATTAACCTCTCCTTGTCATCGTGAAAGAAAAGAAAGAGAATGAATGTGAAAGGTCCAATTTGAAAGTCTGGAATTCTGGAACTCGTGGATTATAAAGATAGAGTTAGTCTAGCAATTGAGTTATACACACTGCTACGGTTGCCGCTCGCAATCGTGAGCTGATTACTCTTCTTTAGCTTTGTCACTCTTTTCAAAGATTCTCTCGTACTACTTGAGAACATTGAACTCAGTAACAGAAATGTCACTACATTTATCGTTTAGAGAGGATCCTTTTTTGGCGGCAGCATCGGACCAACATATTCACTGAGAAACCCCATAATTGGGAGTATCCACTTTTCTCAGTTGTCCATGCTGGGATAATTTGATCGCTTGATATCTTAATATTTATGAGCTATATACAAAGTCTATTGATAGAAGATGGCGGTAGAACCGGGTAACGCCTTGATGCGTTGGCCAGGCTCCATCCGCAACTTGGAATTGTTGACATCAGCCAAACGCTCAGCAAGCTTGTGCGAGTCGCTGACTTCATTCGGTTCAATAAGCAGAGGAATCGCCAGGGGCTTAGTGGTCTTCGCCAGGCGCCCATTGGCAAGTTGGCCAAACTCATTGTCACCAAACACGAGCACATCGCGAGGCCCAGTGTTACCCATGGTGACAATACAGTGGTCGCCACCACCGCTGAACAGGTCGACCCCGATGGGGACAACGCGGTTCACCTTCTCATCATATTCGGAAAAGCCGGTCAACAGCTTAATCACAAGCGGAAGCGAGCACACGTGCATGTAGCGGGTACCCAACTGACCCTGTACCCCATTGCCAAAGGCCAACACTAATGTCTGGTTGCGGTAGTCAACCTCGACGTAACTCAGGTTACCCGCAGCTACCACCTGGCGCACATTGAACTCTTCACTGCGGGAGGCCTTGTCGACGAAATTGCGACACAACCGCTTCAAGTCGTCGCGATTGAGGATCTTACGGGGAGCCGGCTGCTTATTGGTGGTGAACAGGACATCAATCGCACACTGGCCGCATTGGTTGTCACCCCAAGCCCACACGTTGTCGTTGGTGTCGAGGGCCAAATTGTGGTAGGCCCCCGCCAGGATTTGACGGAAATGACGCGGCACCACGGAACGATCACCAGTGTTCAGGATCACAAGCTCCTTGTTGAGCAAAGTGACATCAGTTTCCACACCGAGTTCGGGAGCTTGCGGAGTCCCGTATTGCCCCAAGTTGGTGGTGTTATCAAGCGAAGTGACATACACTTGGCGGTCTTTACCAAGCATCAAAAGGTGTTCAGCGCCCACTCCAAGTTGGACAATAGATTGAGAAGTGGGGAGTGTAGCGTAGTCCTTAGTAGACGCAGCCCACGTCCACGACCGGTGGGAGTCGCCTTTGAAATTGGCCGCAACGTCGGAGCGAGGATAGTAGACAACTTGACCCTTGGTAGTGAGCCCCACCACGAACGCCTCAGTGACTGCCACCAGCGATAACTTGGGAACATTAACTTCGGTGAACTCGGCAGTTTTATTCGGCCGTTGGTACACTTTACCCTTGGCATCAACCACCACTAAGTACTGGCCATTAGCGCCAACATCGCGAATTTTCTTACCTTCAAAGAACGGAACTCTGGCCGGAAGACGACCAGCAATTTCCCCACACACGTAGAGACCGGGTACCGAGCTCGATTGCACGGTAGCTTCGATAGCGGGCAATTGCGACTCAAGCTGAGCCACCACGTTCTTCGTCAGCTTCTTATTGCGCTCATCGTCATTCAAATTGGGTATATTGTTATCATCGACTTTGTACAACCGGTTAGTGTAGTATTTGCTCTTGAGTTCGTGGTATCTGATCCAGAGTTGGTGACCGCACACAATGGCCACCAACGCCAATACCCCGGCCAAAACCCCCTTTAACCGTTCGTAGAAAGCCCACCACTTGCGGTTTTCGTGAGCTCCCAGCACGATCTCGTTATGGATAGTGTTCATCATGTCCTTGTACTCGGGAGAGTTGGGTTTAAACTGTTTAAGCCGAGGGTCCATAGCAATACGGTCAGACACGTTGAGCTTGGTGTCATCAACAAACTGGCGCTCGATACGTTCGAAGATCTTACTCTGCTCCTCCTTGTAGTTGAGAGAATCGCTGAGCTCTTCAATTTTGGGCAAATTGGGAGGGAGGTTATATTTCACCTTAGACGAGTCCAGAGACTCATTCAAGTTCGCCTTCTCGGCCGGCAGTTTGTTGAGGTCATTATCTTTCGTCAGATATAACCGGTGACGGCACGCAAGCACGCTGTGAGGCTGGTATCGCAATACCCCTCGGAGTGATCGCGTCAACATGGTCCGATGAGAGCGCGGCTGCCAGGGATACACCACTAATGGCTGCCAGTGCGGGAGCCTCAATTGATAGTCCAAATCAGGAAGAATGTGGAAACTGTGTTTAGTAGTGTTTAAAATAACAATGTTTGGTTAAGTACTCTCTGAGATCATTTTGATGTAGTATTATTCTGAAGAGTATTACAATTGAATTCTGATGATAATCATTGATTTGTGGGGAGAAATACGCTGAGTGCCAATGAGAATTCAGATATTTATAAGCAAAGACTAAGCTAATTTATAAGCAAAGACTAAGCTAAAACATTTTGCAATCTGTGTGAACTGCAAATTGAGTGTAGACCATCAAATGTCATCATACCCAATTCCGTCTCTTTCGGTGGCGTCTCGCTAATGGTTGCCGTTTTCAGTAACACTGGCGGCAGTCCTCACCTGCTATTTCGCACCCAGTGTCACCAAATCCCCTTTGCCATCAACACATGTTTCCCCGAACCCTAGCCAGAGTCCCGATTCGAGTCACCTATCCTTTGGGTGTACGCGGTCTCACCACCAAATTTGATACGAAGAAGTTCGTCCTGCAAATGGAGGCGCTGGGGTTCAGCCAGCCGCAAGCGGAGACGGCGGTGCAAGTGGTGAGCCGAGCCATCAACGACGGCATCCTGCTGATCACCCGCAACTTGGTGACGAAGGAAACGATGCTGCTGACGGCGTATCAGCAGAAGGTGGACTTTGCTAAGCTCAAGGGGGAGCTTCAAACGATGGATAAGGGCGAATACACTCTGTTGCTCAAGGAGCAAGAGCGGTTGCGGACTGACTTGACCAATTTGAAAAATCGGTTAAAGGAAGAGATCACCAAGCAACAGGCCGGGGTGAGACTCGATTTGAATTTGGAGAAGGGGAGAATTAGGGAAGAGTCATCAATTCATGAAGCTAAGATCGAAGATACCACCACGCGTATTGACGAGGAAATCGCTAATTTGCAAATGCAGATTAAACTGGTGAAGACTCAAGTGATGCAGTGGTTGATTGGTGTGACTTCGGGTACGTTTGCCTTGCTTTTAGCATTTATTCGGTTCTTCGGTTGAACGTCACCATTACGCGGAAATTGAAAAAACTACGATAAAACAGTCGAGTACAGTTCAATCGCCTTTGCTGCACATTTCAAAAGTGATTCGTTTGCAGCATTTGAGCTGAATGAGTGAATGTGATCTTATTATTCCAGCGTTATGATCAATTGTCGGTTTATAAGCTCAACGGAGTTTTAAGCCGAGTTCTCAGCGCTATATACTTAGGCTGTTTTGTGAATGATTATGCAGTATTCAAAATCTATTGATGCCAGATCGGATGAATGATTCTGTGGAATACATGCAATGAGTAGTTTATATGAAACGATAGGATTAAAGATCTACAAATAGAACTAAAATAACATTCATAGCATAGTCGATACTCCATATATCATCTCGTTTGGTGGTTATCACCGGCTTCGTCTAATATCACTGCATTTTGTCGGTACCACCCACCACGCCAAAATAGACATTTTCGCGTCAGTGCGCGCGCCACGTCATGAACTCCCTTTACAACCATGGGTTGAAACAGACCCAGCAACTCACCAAGGACCTTGCCACGTTCGAGCTGAACTTGCTGACACTGCCACTCCTGCTCCAAGGTCTGATCTCGACCACCCTCATCTCGTTTCGCAAAACCATTAAGGAGTACACCGACTTGGTAAACAACCACAGCGATGCTGCTGCTCAAGAAAAGCATCGGGCTCGATTAGTCAAGTTCAATCAGGAATTACAAGAGTATACCGACAAGTTTGATCTGCTTCGAAGCCAGCGAGAAGAGCAGATCCATGAGTCGAGCAAGCAAGAGCTTTTCGGTCGCCGACAGGCGAGTGATAACCCCTATGAGCCCACCGATCTGGCGCTGGCATTCCAACAACAACAACAGCAACAGCAACAACAAATGAGCTACCAGGAAGGGTTATATAACGAGCGGAACCTGTTATCTCGGGGAAACCAACAGCTTGATCACATATTAGAGATGGGCCAACAGGCATTGGAGGACATTGTTGGCCAGAATGAAACGTTACAGAAATTGCAGCAAAAGTTCGAGGACGGGTTAGTGACGTTGGGGGTGTCTCAGGGCACTATTCGGACCATCGAACGACGCGCTCGCCAGGACAAGTGGTTATTTTGGGGGTGTGTGGTGTTGATGGTGATTCTTTTCTACTACTTGATCAAGTGGTTTGCCTAGATGCATGCTGATTATCATTGGATCTTTAAGGGAATACGAAATTCGTTTAAAACGGACAGCGAGTGACGGGCTTTTGCCCTTTACTAGCGGTATCTAGCCCACCTTCTACAACGAGGCGAAGCTTGAGATATTCCCAAACTAGCAACTAATAAATTAACAGCCTTTTTTTTTTTTTTGACTTTCTGTCTGAATACCATCTCGAGGCCTGAAAGAAGTATTGTAACCGACACCAGCAAAAAGAAAACCCACAGGGGGTGGCAACTAAATGCGGGGGGCAGGCACCTGGGAAAGCAACGAGGGAGAAACGGCTATCAGGTACCCTCTCCCGATGACCTCATGGGGCCTGTGATCGGTCACAAACTTTCTCAGTCTGGGGTCGATTGCCGAAAACGGCAATAAGTGGGGGGTTGGTTCTCGTGACTGAGCGCAAGATCTGCAATCACCCACCTTGCAGCGGCGTCTTGCGCTCGGAGGAGCCCCATGAGACCATCTGGGTTTAATTACCGATTCGTTCGATTTCTGTCTTTGATGGCGATCATTTCTTATCTCCTACCAAGGTGGCAACCGAAAAGGGTTGTCGAGAAAAAGTCGAGAAATATAACGATGTTACGATAGTCTGAATTAGGTAATGGTAAAGAGATGGGATACCCAGTCAAACGTGAAATTACACCACTCACTAACTTTGCGGTGAGGGATCAGGCCGTATCAATTACCGGAGTTATCATCGCAACCTGTTAGAATTGCGAGCCCCAGCCCGAACCCCAACCGATGAGGTAGGCAGTACGTAAGCGATCCGCTAATTAGCCTAATCGGGCGATCGTATCAGTCAACCTTAACTGGTTAAAATTTTTCGCCAATGGTCACCGTCACCATAACCAAACCCACCAGTAAAAAATTCCAACTGAACAACTTTGTAAAATTCATCGTTTCGCAACGGTGGGTGGCCTGTGTTGCACATCGCTAAGCATGCACGATTGGCCTGTAGTGTCGTGACCCCACCCACGCGCCGCACCGAACACTTCCCACTACAGTAAAGGTTGCCAACTGGTGGTCCCCTACCCCACCACCGTTTGCCCCCCCACCACCGCGATGAGCTCTCGAGGAAGACACCGTCGTGCCAAGTGGTGGGGTAGTGCTTGGCTCCCCGGAGCGGTAACCGAGTCGAGCGTGTGAAAGTGTGAAACGGTGGGACATTGACACGGTGAAGGCTATACTAGGGCGGTTGAAGGGGGTGTTCCTCGCCAGGGGGGCTCCGAAAGGGTGATGTTTCGGTATCGGATCGGCAATCATCCACGCCTAAGCCGAGTGTCTGACCCGACCCGAGCGGTGGGGCGTGGGGAAGAAATTTGGATATAATCTTCCTTTTCCCACTTGCCCAATGCGGATTGCAACAATGCACCCGCGCGTCAGTTCCCCGGGCTCGCCACCGTCATCGATGCTTTTGACACATTCTCCAGTCACACCTCGTTTACTAAACCTCAAACCACCACCCCAAAAACCATACAATTCACAGTTTAAAGATACTGCTAGCTCTAGGCTTTCATCCAATCAATAATATCTGCAAAATTTTGCTTATTCCTGGTAGTGATGGCCGGTGACCACTGACACCCGCAACCGCCTTAAAGCGAGCCACCTGCCTAATCGGGCAATGTCAAGAGGATTTGCAGCCTGCGGTGGGGGGCACAGTTGGGGCTGAGAACGGCACTATATATCTCGTTACCGGTCACCGTTCGACGCCATCTTTTTTTCCCGGTGTCTTTTCCGACGTCTCTCATCTGATGCAACCGAAAATCTACTTGGTGCTGGTAGCTGGTCTATTAGCCCTGGTGGACGCGCTCCCCATCGACCGCCACGCCGGCGACGTCGATATCGCCAAACGTGCCTTCTTTCTGAACTTGCTCAGCGGCATTGAGGGTCTCTTTTCGTCGCTGCCCGCCACCAATAAAGCTACTACTCCTCAGGCTGCTCAGGCCCCAGCGGCGGCGGCACCCGCGGCGGCGATCCTGCCAACCACCACTATCGTCGAGTACGCTCAGCCAACAGCAGCAGCCACTCAGCCGCCAACGACGAAAGGTTTCTTCGCTAACTTGTTCCTGCCCAAGACGACGGCGCCGGCTCCGGCTCCCGTGGCCGCTGCTACCACTAATCCGGCAATCCAGGTGTTTGCTCCAGCTCTGACCCAGCCAGCGCTGACTCAGCCCGCTGTTGCTGCTGTTGCTGCTGCGCCGGTGGCGGCACCCACCTCGTCGTCAGTGAAGTTCTTTGACCATCTTTTCGACGACCTCAGTGGCTTTTTCGGCCTCGATGGCGACTCGCCGCTGTCTACCCCTTCGTCGCTGCCACAACCGCAGCCGCAACTGAGCCAGCCTCAGCCGCTGCTGAACTTGCAAGCGGCCCCGGCGACCTCGCTGTATCAGCAGCAATCGCAGGCGCCTCAATCGCTGTCAGACCCTGCCCAAGGTGGCAACCAGGGCTCTTCCTCAGCGTCTAACTCCGGTGCTTCGCCTACTAATGATTTAGGCGGTAAGCAAGGGTCCGGTTACGGTGGTACCGGTGGCCTGGGTAAAGCCAGTGGCAGCCCCGATGACGTCGCCGCCGTGCTGGCGGGGGAAGTGCCTGGCTGGTACTCGGTGGGCGATAGCTCACAACTGGCGGTGCCCACGGGGGCTACTCCCGGTGGCCAGAACGCTCAGTACGCTCAGGGTTCCAAGGGGATGTCGTACTCGCCCTACCGTAAATCGGGCCAGTGTAAGCTGCTGCAGGAAGTGGCCAGCGACATCAAAAAGCTCCAAGGGTTCGACCTCATCCGTCTCTACCTGACCGACTGCTCGGGGATCGAAAACGTGTTGGCTCTGATGGGGTCTTCGCAACAACTTTTCCTCGGGGTGTGGAACTTGGACACCGCTCTGGTCCAGGGCGGGCTTAATGACATTGCTAACGCCGTCAAGACTCTGAACCGAGGGTGGCTGGCGGTACACACCATTGCCATTGGCAACGAGCGGGTTAATGAAGGCCAGGCGACCGTGGGAGACATCAGCGCTGCGTTATCGACGGCGAGAGATTGGTTAAAGGCCAATGCTCCCCAGTATAACGGGGCGGTGGTGTCGGTAGACACATTGGTGGCGGTGAAAAACAACCCTGGTCTCTGTGGTCTCAGTGACTACATTGCCGTCAACTGTCACCCATACTGGGACGGTGGGGTACTCCCTGAGAACCTGGGCCCTTGGCTTAAGCAACAAGCACAAGAATTAGCGGGGATCTGCAATAATAACAAGCAGATCATGATCACCGAGACCGGGTGGCCCACTAAGGGGGGAAACTACGGGCTGGCGGTGCCGCTGGTGGAGAACCAAAAGACGGCGCTCCAACTGATCATCAGCACCATGGGGCTGGACGTGTTGGCGTTCACCATGTATAATGACTACTGGAAGGCCGGCGGCACCAATGGCGTCGAGCAGTACTGGGGGGTGTTTGGTGACCCCGACGCCTAAGGAGACGCCATAGACTCTTATAGATATCCGTGTATGATTAACGACTTAATGTCACCTCTAACAAGATGATGTAGAAGGAGTATCAATTAAAGCATTAGATAATTCCTCATTCCAATCATGTCGTGACACAATCGCGCTGGCAAAGTGTCTCTATGAAGTTGAATTTACGATCCTTAGGAATCTAAAACGTCGAAGGTTGTCCAAGAGTCTTGCTTTAAATTAAAAAGTAACTGGGTACCCAAATTAATATAACATTACGTGCTCATACCAAGAAGAGTAGGCAGGAAACTAGCACTGTTCGAGAGCTGTACGTTAGTTCATGGATGTCCTCTACTGGGTTCCCCGGGCCCATAACTGCGAGCCCACGTTCCCTCCAATACCATGAGTGCCACCACAACCATCTCAAAATTGCCAAAATTCACGATATTAACTACCACCATTTGATCTCATCCAATTATCTATTAGCATAGCACTTCTGTGACATCTCAATTGTTTATACCCAAGATCACCCTACCCCGGTGCTCGCTCATCTCATCTCATATTTTCTCCACATCTCACTCGTCACTCCCACCAGCTACCTATCGCCCCCATACATACCCCGATGAGAGACGTGGTAGTGCTCAGCGGGTCGCTGCATCCCGAACTCACCAAGCTGATATGCCGCCACCTCACCACCAACAAAGGCGAGGTGCTCCTGACCAAGTTTGCCAACGGCGAGACCCTGATCGAGATCAAGGAGTCGGTGCGGGAAAAGGACGTGTTTATCGTCCAGCTGGGCTGCGGCCACGTCAACGACAACTTGATCGAGTTGCTCATCATGTTGCTGGCGTGTAAAACCGCCTCTGCCAAGCGGGTGACCGCCGTATTACCGCTCTTCCCTTATTCGAGACAACCGGATATCCCCCACCTTGCGGCGCTTACTGGGGCTCCGAAGAAGACTACGTTCAACTTTGAGCTGAGACCACCCACCAGAGCCCTGACTCCGGCTCCCGGTGACCTACTGGCGCCCATGACTCCCAAGAGAACCGACTCTACGACTAAGATTAGCGCCCCTAACCCGATCAAGGGTCTGCTGAAGAACATCGCCACTACCGACGCTGCTGGCCGTACCGAGCTGGGCTACAAGCAGTGGATCGCTCAAAACGGTACTCTCATCGCCAACTTGCTCACCAGAGCCGGGGCTGACCGCGTCATCACCATGGACTTGCACGACCCTCAGTTCCAAGGCTACTTCGATATCTGTGTCGACAACTTGCACCTGAAGCCGTTGTTCAAGAACTGGATCATTGAGCACATCCCCAACTACCACCAGTGCGTGATTGTGCTGCCGGACTCTGGTGGGGCCAAGCGGGCCATTGCTGTCGCCGATGCCCTTGGCTGCCCCTTCGCTTTGATCCACAAGGAACGCCGGGCTAAGTACGGTACTGGCGCTGAAGGTACCCCTGATTCCAACCCTAAGGTGGTGGCGACGACGATGTTGGTGGGTGACGTCAAGGACAAAGTGTGCGTGCTTGTCGATGATCTTGTCGATACCGCCTATACCATTACTCAAGCGGCTAAGCTTTTGAAGGACCAAGGGGCGAAACAGATCTACGCTCTTGTGGCTCACGGTATCTTCTCTGGTGAAGCTATTCGTCGTATTGAGCACTCGGCCATCGATAAGCTTGTGACCACCAACCTGACTCCTTTGCAACCTGGGGCCAACTTCGAAGTGTTGGACGTGCTGAGAGTGTTTGCCGAAGCCATTCGTCGTATCCACAACGGGGAGTCGGTGAGCATGTTGTTCGACCATGGCTGGTGAAGAGAGTATATAGACGCCAATATCATCATAGAACCTGTTTAAACGAGATCTTCAATGGGATACCATAGATCAATGCTAAGAGAGACTTCAAACTAATCTCGATCAGCATATTCTTTGAGTCGGAGGAACGAGCACGATATTAAATGCTTGAGAGGCAACGATGGCGTTAACGGTGATACTAATAATGAGTCAGACAGCCTAGAATGTACATCGATTTAATTGCAACCTTGGCTTACCTTCCTCAGCACTTAGGTAAGCAGCAATAACACTGCTGTCATGAAATGAGCATAGGATTGAGGAACCCACAATATCCGGAATATCTGGGTGACACCTGCCTTTGGTGTGCTAACAAACCTTGCTCAGCGAAACTTGTAGAGTAAACCACTTGAATCAGATCTCAAATCGGATCTCCTGAGGGATAACGCTCTACTCCAAACCTTGCTACTTTCCGTATACGAGCGAGCAAGCTCCAATGATCCGTCGATGTCCTTGCCGTAAACGAATTTTGGTGCAGAGAGTCGGTAGTGCAAAATGGGAAGTCGGCAAATCTCTACTCAGTCACCAACAATGATGTGGGACACTCCTTTCAGACTAGAGAGCCAATAGATAGTAATCAACACTAGAGGTGAACGATGGTACATTTCCACCACAATTGAGACATTATAAAGTCACCATGTTATCAATGAAGCCCTCGGTATTTACCAAGTTACAAATAGACCTTCACTTCCTACTAAGATTGTTGGTGTGTTTACTAGGGACATCTCACCGCAAAGTTGATGTGGGGGGTGATCACGTGATGTTTACCTCAACCCCGAAATGACCCCCGGCAACTCGCAACCGAACCCAGCTATAATTGGCAACATCAACACTAAAAAACGCATCCACTGATAAACGATCGATGGCCGAGCTCATCGCAGCCCCCGTGGCCCCAGTACATTCTTCTATCAATTTATATGGAAATTCGCTTTGATTATAGACTTCCTCTAGACCATTCTAGCCCCTATCCGCTGGTGCCGATCTCCGATGCTGGTGGTTTACTGCTTCAATCGTTTAGACACGGTTCGAGACCTTTTCTTGCATGCATGAGAAATCGGACCACTGTGAGCCAAAAACATAACAATAGACTTGGATGGCAGAGAAATGACTATCACTACCAATACCTTCGTTGATGATCTAAAGCGATCCTACTATGATTTGGTTGAAATTTAGAGCAGGGTATCGCTGGTGTTCATCCGATGCCTGAAAGTGGTAACTCGATGACGTAATCACTGCGCCTTGACCTGCACACAGTGCCACTGGAAAAGGTGGGCGACAATTTTCTTCATAACAAACCGAGTCCACGAGCAAACAACCTTCCACCATGTTGCCCACCACTCTTCTCACTGCCCTCGCTGCTTCGGTCGCCTCGGTCTCGGCCTTGGGTGACTTGGCGTTCAACCTTGGTGTCAAGGACAACGCTGGCAACTGTAAGACGGTGCAAGAATTCGAAGACGACTTCAAGAGATTGTCGCCTTACTCCAAGATCGTCAAGACCTACGCCGTCTCCGACTGCAACACCCTTCAGAACTTGGGCCCCGCCGCCGAGGACCTGGGCTTCCAGTTGATGTTGGGTATCTGGCCCAACGACGACGCCCACTTTGAGGCGGAAAAGAACGCCCTCAAGACCTACTTGCCTAAACTTTCTAAGGGCACCATCAAGACTTTCCTCGTTGGTTCGGAAGCTCTCTACCGTAAGGACATGGAACCCCAAGACCTTGCCAACCGTATCTCCGAGATCCGTGACTTGGTCAAGGACATCAAGGACAAGAACGGCGAGCTGTACCTGGGCATCCCCGTCGGTACCGTCGACTCGTGGAACGTGATTGTTGACGGCTGGTCGTACCCTGCCCTTAAGGAAGCCGACGTCGTCTACGCTAACGCCTTCTCGTACTGGCAAGGTCAAACCAAGCAAAACTCGACCTACTCGTTCTTCGACGACATCATGCAAGCTTTGCAAACCATCCAAAACGTCAAGGGTTCCACCGACATCGACTTCTGGGTGGGTGAAACCGGCTGGCCCTCGGACGGTTCCAACTTTGGCGACTCGTACCCTGGTGTCGACAACGCCAAGGACTTCTGGCAACAAGGTATCTGCGCCATGCGTGCCTACGGTGTCAACGTCGCCGTGTTCGAAGCCCAAGATGAAGCCTGGAAGCCCGATGAATCGGGCATCAACGACGTCGAAAAGCACTGGGGTGTGTTCGACAGCAACGGCAAGTTGAAGTACGACTTGGACTGCAAATTTTAGGTTAGGATACCCGGGATAATGACAAAAAAAATTTTACACATCAGATTAATCAAACGTATAGCCCTCATTCTTGTTTAGTTCAAGCAACGTTCGCAATAACTGTCCCGATTGTGCGGGTCATAATGCCTCATCTGTTGCTTTTTCCGGCGCTGAGAAATGTATTATTAGACTAAGGCCACAAGATGCTTGGCTTCCCACCAGGCGTGGAAGCTTCGCTAAGCCCAGGCCCCCCTACCGCTTCGGCAAAAGGTTCCCGCCGACCCATGCTGCGGAGAGGCAGTATGCCCGTGTGTCTCCGGTGTCACACAGGCACGAGCAGGCAACACACCGTAAATCACCAAGGGGTGGCAAATTAATGAAAATCAGCCGTTTCCGGTGATCATAATCATTAGCTCAGTCAAAGTATGACTAATTAGTCAGTCTGGAAGCCAAGGGAATTGGCACTCAGCCACTCCCCGCCACCGGTTTAGTCAGCCGCAAGGCTGTCTCGGCATCGGCCAACACCGCCTTCCGCAACAGTTTACCACCAAAATAGGCAGCTGCTGCCAAGGTGGGCGCGGTTATTCCTTGGATTTGTCTCCCCGGCAGCTCGGCACAACCCCCGAACGTGCGTCGGTTTCGACCCATGGGCCCCTGGTGTGCGTCTCACCTGCTTCGCAAAAACCGATCGCCCCCACCCGCACTGGCGCTGCCCCCAACCCTCGCCATTGCTGGCACGATTGCCCTCAAAGTTGGGGGAGGCAGCCCGCCTTAGTGATGTGGCCAGACCAGTGTTGCCCCACTGGTAGGAGTCTTTTACCATATTGCCCCATGTTATCGGGGAGGTTGCCAGCAAATGCCGAGGGCGCCAGGCCTCGACTTGCTTGATAAATACGTCACAATCACAATTTTAGTGTGTGGGCACGATCTATGCATCTTCGGGTGCATGATGCGTTTACCCATACAGCAGGGACATTGTCGCAAACTATGCCAATGGTGGTCGGCTGACGGGTGCTAGATTGCCAAGAGTATATTTCTTGGGGCGAGGTCACCGGCTCTTGGGTTGATCGCAGCCCAAACTTTGCAGCCCCTCGCATTATCGTGCCACGGCGGGGCGATGCCGATAGAGCTGGTGCCGATTCGCTTAAATATCCGGATCACCCCGTCTCAGAAAGCTCTTGACTTCTAAATTTTAACTTATGATGATGCTGTCTACAGTACCTTCCACTTACGACCGGCTGTCGCCTCCAAAACTTCCCCCCATTACCCAAATCATTCCTGGGATCGACACTCTCCCGCGGCTACCATTGCCCCTGGTACGACGAGACGGACCTTTTCAATACCGACCCCAGCTCTACATGCGGCTGTTGCCGCGAACGGGCCTGGTGTCGCCCAACCCGCCACCTCAACCTTCTACTATTGCTGCTTGGCTCCCGCTGCCATTAACCAGTCCCTCGCAACCAGGAGCCGACGCTCCTGTCTTAGTGCCTCCAGTAGCACTTGAGCCGCTTCCGCCGGACCAATTTCACCAGTTGGCAATGGATACTGCCCGTGGATTCGCCGTAATCCCCCACGCCGACCCCCACCTCGTGTCTCTTGCCCAACACGATTTGAACCGTTTCTACCACCAAGTGTGCGATATGGTTCCCGACACCGATGGCGTTGACATCGTTGCTCGTACTCGAGCCATGCTTACTCCCATAGTGTTGACACACTACTTCAGTCTCAGCCAGGCGTGCGCTGTCAGTGGGGTGAAGCCGCCGCCGATTCCGTTTAAGCACACTCCACGCATGTTTGCCATCTTCACTCCGGCACACTTAGAGGCGATGCGTCACACCGACGCCTCTCCCGAGCTGGCTCAGGCGTTGGCTCGTGATCCCAGCTTCCACCCGATTCTGTGGCAGGCGATCTTGCACCAATTTGCCGCGTTGGATCGCCGCCGGGAGTCGCTGCCGGCAGTGCCGTCACACGAACAGACGGTGCTGGTGCTGCCGAAAGCTACCAAAATTAGACGGTTCCTGTGTCCCTACTACAACTCGGCTCGCAAGTGTCTGCGGTTTGGCAGCTTCTCCCGGGAAAAGCTTCTCAAAAGCCACTTGCGCCAAGTCCACACGTCGTCCCGCAACGCCGATACGGGTGCTATTCGCTGCCGGGAGTGCCAGGTCACGTTTGAGCTGCACTCGCAGTTTTACCGCCACTGCCAGCGCTGTGCCCGACCTAATTAACGCCCCTACCTAACGTCAATAACACAAAAAACACATGGAAAACTTATCCCGTATCGTAATCGTAACCTGACGTAATCAGCTGTAGCGACCTGCCAAAAAAATAATGTCACCTCCGCCAATTTTTACTTGCCTACGCCTTGAAATTTTCAGCAACCTGCCTCACCCACACAGCTGTGTCATATTGCACTCGGACTAATTCAAGTTGCCTTTCGCTAAACTGACTAGTGCTACAATTCCGAAACTACCACCAGTCACTTTGATTTACACCTCTAATACATTCTCGAGATAAAGGTGGCGATTGGTTTCGAGATTGCGTCACCTAAGCGAGATGATCCCCCACCCTCTCGTTGTAGAACCATAGAGTTTGACTGAGAAATCCTGACCGCCGTGCCAATCTTTTTTTGGGGGTATAACTCCTTGTGTTTAAAATTTCTCGTTGTTCCGGAGTTACATTATCTCTCGCTAATTTTTGCGAGAAGCACGGTTGCGTCGAGGGGAACAGCGTTCTAGCCCAAAGGAATTTCTTTGTTCTGGAGGAAGGAATAAATACGCTACATTTTTAAATAAATGACTACAGCTTGGCTAGTGACGGTGATGACGACTCTTGTTATACGAAGGGGTTAAATTTGTAAACCATTTTGTCACTTCTGTGTCATCTGGGACCTGGGTGTCACCTTCGTGTTTGCGGCAATCACGAGATACCATCGCGACCCACGTCCGTATTTTTTCCATCGCCGCCTCGGCAAGCATGAGATTTTTCCGAGATGTTGAGCTGTGCCGGAATATTGCTTATATCATTGGCGTTCACGTGCCGACAGCTCCGAATTGGGGTATCGTATTGAGGGTTCTCTTGCGTCAGGGAAGGCCCAAGCTTTTCCCATAAAATTGACCAAGCATTTCCATATTAATTGCTCAAGCTGGTTCAGTAGATGACTAGATGACTCATTAAAACTCTGTTGCCCTTGGCATTGCTTTAATGAGCCAAGACTAATCTTTAATTGGAAACATTCCCTGATAGTACTGAAAGAAAGCCAGATCATTGTGGCCATCAAGCCTCCCCCATTTTTAGACATCGAGTGAATCGATGACGTCATCGATGTCCGTCGACGGCCAATTTGTGAGCCGCACGAAAAACGTCCCCCATCAATGCTGACCCCAAACCCCGACAACGACTCGCCGGCGCCGGCGCCTGAGACCTCACAGTCGCCCCAATCGCCCGTTGGTACCACCACTCAGGGTGGTAACGACACCGGCGACGCGTCGACAACGCCGCCTGACTCGGGGCTGGGGCGCCACTACCACCACCATCACCCCCACCGTCCCTCCGCCGACGACGGCGATTCTCTGGTGCCTCATATCCATCAAGGCAGCCACATTTACGTGATTAAAAATGCTGCTACCAGAGAATCTTCGCAAGAGGCAGGTTCTCCTCAAATTCGCGAGGCGTCGCCCGACGGTGTCGCCGCGCAAGTTAAGGCCGAACCAGCGGAAAACAGTGTATCTGAGCCACCGAGAACAGGACTGACAGTTCAGTCGACAAACGCATCGATCAACGAAATGGTGAACGAGATGGTGAAGGACACTAAGGAGGCGACTGACACAGTCAACGAAACGGCCAACGAGACCCTTAATGATACCACGATTAACGATACCGTCAACGAAACCGCCAACGAGACTGTTAACGAGACCGCCAATGATACCGCCAACGAGACTATCAATTACACGGTTACTGAGGGTCATAATGAGACTATCAACGATACCGTTTACGAAACGGCTAATGAAACCGCTAATGAAACGGCTAATGAAACGGCTAATGAAACGGCTACCGAAACGGCCACCGAGACTGCCAGCGAAGTGGCTGTGTCCCAGTCATATCACCACACTCCCGTCCCCGAGCCAGTTTATCACACACCCACACCGCAACCAGTCGACGTATTACCGCCTCCTCCACAAATTACTCACACGTCGCAAGTGGTCACGACGACGACGGCTAAGTCAGCGCTGCCTGAACTTCCCGTAGTGGCGTCCAAACCCAAAAGAAAGGCTCCGATCACGCTTAATACTGGTCTTGTGAAACAGATGGCTAAGGAAATCCAGCCTACTCGTACTTACCTTGGTACCATCATCTACAATCCCACCACCACGTGGGGGACGCTTCAGATGTCTCAGTTACCGGGGCTTCGCGAGGAAGACTTTGAACGGTTGTTGGAAATGAAACACAACTACGTGGAAAAGCTTAAGCTGAACTACGGGCTTGTCCAGTATATCCCAATGATCCCTCCTTTGCCTCCGGCGTATATCAACTATACGTTGACCATCAAGATCCCCCAACGGTTCTTAGAGCTTTTCAAAGTGGAGCTTGATGCTAACGCCACTAATCGCGATGCCTGGGGTGGCGCTGGCGGTATTTTTACCGATGACTCTAATATCCTCTGTGTATTGGCTCATTTGGGTTTGTTCACCGGTGACTTGGACTTGCTGGAGTGGAACGAGAACTGGAAGGGATTAGCGCCGTTGCAAACGTTCAACCACGGCAATAAACGTCGCCGTCTGGACGGCACAAGCGAGACTGCCCCCGAGGGGAATAAGGCTGAAAACAGTAAGCCTGACGAGGAGGACACAGCCGAGATGCTGGAGATTCTTCGCTTCCCCATTCCCGGGGACTTGGCGGTCGATGTGTTGTTATTACCGCCGATGAACGCCTATTACGGCTATTACGCCCACGGCATCAACACTCGCACCTGGGTGCTGAAAAACCATCACCAAGGGTTATCGATCGCCGTGTTCAACGCCAAGTGGGAGTCGCTGGGGACATATTTGCGCGATAAGACCACCTTCAAGCGGTACCAGGCAGAAATGGCCCAGGACCGCCGCGAACTGGCTGAGTTGCAGCATCTGTGGCACTTGCTGAAGAAAAAATACAATGAAATCAGGCAAAAGTACGCGCAGGTGGAGGGGTAGAGGCGGGGCGTCTGGACCAGTAAGCCACGCCGTTGACAACCCCTATTACTGAAGTGCATGGGTGTGCAGCCGACGCTTTAGTGGGGCAGGTTATCTCCGATTGGGGCCGGGTCCATCGTCGCCATCGATGTCGTTGTCTAAATGACCCATGCTTCCACTACTCGTCGGTCTATCCTTCGACACGTGGCACTCATCAAGACAACAATGGGGCAGCTTTTTGTGGATACCAGATTGGCCGCCGTACCTCGCACGGCACTAGTCTCCTCGATATGATATTAACAGGCCACCGTTAACCCCGATAGTGCTCATCGAGGCTAAATTTTCAGACAGTCGGGCATTAGGACTCGTTATCGAGGCTTAATTTTCAGACAATCGGGCATTAGGACTCGTTAATGCTAGGCGGAAAGTTTCTGCATGGCATAACCTCCACGGTAGCCCCCAAATAGGGGAGGGCCAAGCGATCACACGACGTCAACGTGCCTGAGGGTTTAGCCTTTTTCGGTGTGCATTCTACCTTATTATCTCTGCAGGGCGGTCCCCAAAAGAACCGCCGCCTATGCAATGCCAACTGATCGTTGCGAGATGCGAAATTGCCGAAGAGGGTACGTCCAATGTCCAGCGGTAAATCATCAACATTAGGTGCGCCGATTGCCCGCCGTTGGCTATTGTTATTCCATTGTCTAGGCAAAAGCGTGGGGTGTTAATGGACTTTGTATTGTGTAAATACAACGGCAGGTTTGGCTTTGGGCGTCTGGAACGAGGAACAGGGACAAAATCGGAAGTGGGTCGGAAGCACAGTTCCGGGGGTCGCGACACGATGCGCTTGGCGCTAACTACTACGGTGGTGGTGGTTAATGTCTGACACCGATAGCGGCGGGCTCTGTGGTAAGTGGGAGCCGTGCCAAGAGGTCATCCGATACAGACACTTTGCCAACCGTGTTTACATCGCGGCTATCAGGCAATACACCTTGCTGGTTAAGCTGGCGCGGGCTCGGAGCAGCTGACATGGCTCGAGATTTACTTTTGTAGAGAGCTTGATTGGGCGCCGCATGTGTGATAGCCACTGGGCTCGGTAAAGGCCTCAATGTACGCTGTGGGGTTCCGGAACTCGTAGGGCTGAGCCCTCGAGTCTTGTCGTCCTTAACAAAGCAGCGTGAGCATTTTGTTCTCACGGCGTAAGATCAAACTCCAGCCGTCTATGATGAGTCACTACCGCCGAAGAAGCTAAAAACCAAGTAGTACTAACTTATTAATGTAAAGTATTTATTCCCATTTTCAAACTTCTCGATCGCCATAAATGAGTGTGTTATATCGGCCCGGTGCGACTGAGCCACCAGCGAGCAAATTCCGGTTGACGCGCACCTTAGTTTCTTTTTCGCGTGAACACAAAGAGCCATTACTGCAGTAACTATTACGGTATGACTCCTCAAATAGGAGTACGAGAAATTAATGAAATTCTGCGATACATGTGCCCACGCTAAGAGACTATGGCCGCTAGATAACCCCTGATCAACCCCCGTTTCACCCCAGTCGTCTACAAGCTTGTTAGCGATGCGTAGCCCCCCAGCCAATTGACCCGCGGTGCCTGAGGATCTCGGCTTGCACTTTTTTAAAGTGAGATGTCGCACCGTTGCTGAGGTCAATTCAGCTGGTGCATAAATATCCTGCACATAGTCGCGGCGAAGGGCGCCGTACCGCCATCATCACCCTGGTGGTTATCCAAGTGGCCCAGGGGTGAAAAAAAATTGTTATCGAACTCACCTAAACCCGACGCTCACCAAGCAATTTATAAGACTGGCCATTCTCCATCCCAAACTCTTCAATTACAGATTCAAACGCCATGGCTCCCTTTGCAGAAGCAGCCACCGAAGTGTTTCGCCAGTCGATTGAACTTGCTCTCAGGCACGTCCCCCTTCCACAAGACAAGGACGAGCACGACGATGACGAACCCCCGGTGTGTAGCAGTGGTAACGAGTACGATGGGCGCATGGGTGTCCGTATCTCGTCCATTTTCGTCATTATGGTCGGGGGTGGTATCGGGGTGTTTTTCCCCATCTTGCTGAGTCGATACTCGGCTATCCGCATGCCGTGGTGGTGCTTCTTCATCGCCAAGTTCTTCGGGTCCGGGGTTATCGTCGCCACCGCATTCATCCATCTTTTGGACCCCGCCGTGGAGGCCTTGGGCAACGAGTGTCTCACCGGGCCCGTCACCGAGTACCCGTGGGCGATCGCCACCTGCTTGATGATGATTTTCTTGATGTTCCTTATTGAAATTATTGCCTATGGTCTCTCCAACGAACACCGCCAGGAAGGGGGCCACACCCACTCCCATTTCGGCGCCGAAGACTTGTACGTTCGTGGCGCTGGCATGGAGAAGGGCGCTATCGACAAGGTTGACAAGGACGACCTGAGCGAGTTCCTGGATAACCACGATAACACCGTCCCCGCCCCGCAACTGACGGCGCCGCAAGACGCTTTCACCAAGCACTACAGCCACGCCGACAACCACCAAGACCACGAAATCCTCGGCACTCCCGCCGAAGACATCTCCAAGGAAAAGTACGCTGGCTCGCTTATCGGTATCTTCTTCCTTGAATTCGGTATCTTGTTCCACTCGGTGTTCACCGGGTTGGCGTTGGCTGTCGCTGGTGATGAGTTCATCACCCTTTACATCGTGCTTATTTTCCACCAAATGTTCGAAGGGTTCGGTTTGGGGCTGAGAATTGCCACCACCAACTGGGGTAAGCACCGCTGGACCCCCTGGGTGTTCGCCGCCGCCTTTGCCTTGGTCACCCCCGTCGCCATCGCCATTGGTCTTGGGGTGCGTAAGAGTTACGCTCCTGGGTCGAGAACGGCGCTTCTTGTCAACGGGGTGTTTGACGCGTTGCTGGCGGGGGTTTTGATTTACACTGGTCTCGTCGAGTTGATGGCTCACGAGTTCTTGTTCTCGCTGGAGTTCAAGGGGCCGAACGGCTTCCGCAAGATGTTGTGGGCGTACTTTATTATGTGTTGGGGTGGTGGGTTGATGGCCTTGTTGGGTTACTGGGCTTAAATGTTTACGACTTTAACGTTATAGAGAGTCTCGAAGACTTTTACCTCACGATTTTAATAATACGAGTAATTCAAACTTGACATGTAGACACTGCTTGGATTTCACCAAACAACTTCTAGAAATTTACCCAGCAGTTTTTATTGGTCAACACGTGTACGATTAGATCGTACAAGGTTAAGTAATATTTGATCGTCAACTTTGTGCCAAAGCTAACACCGTATTACTCAGCTGTTTTAACTCTTTCGTTATTGGTCGAGCCCAACATTATCGGTCGTAAGCTCTTTTGACACAAAGAGCAAAGTGTCGTGCAGTTTATTAGACACAAAAAGCAAAGCGTGAGGGAGAGTGAGGACAGCTAAATGGACTAGCGCAATCAAAGCTTGTGACTCGAAGACGATACTATTAGTTAACTTTCTGAACCAACTACGTCGATAAGAATCTGGGGGTGTGAAATTTGAGGGAACAGCCTTGTTACTAAATTTTATGAGAATGTGCAATTGATCTATTCTCGATGTTTAATGGTAAAATCACTTCGACTTTTTAATTTCGTCATTACATGACGTGCAGAATCAATCGGACCTTATTCTTAGACTCTTCCGAATTTCAGTTCAAATCTGTTATTGTTGACTAGAATTACGCTTGCAAATGTTCCACGTTGCAATGGTGAGGAAAGAGGGCCAAAGAAGGCTAATAGCACTATAGTAGTAAATCCCCCTCCCAACAACATTAACTTCTGATTTTATGGGAATTGTTGAGGCAAGCTCCTGGAAGAATTTAAGCGAATGAATCCACCTTCGCGTCCCATGATTCGTGATTAAGCCTGAAATTCTTTATTGCTGCCTGTAATAGACAATCCCAAGAAAGTTATCCACTCGTCAATGATGAATAATTCAATGGCCGCAATGTTTGCATTTCAAAATCGAAACCGATTTTACTCAGATTTTCTTCTCTTTGGAAAATTTGCAAGAAATGAAAATTTAATGCAAAATTTCCAATTAAATGTTTTTGATCATCGCTCTTAGTCTGTTAAGCTGTGGACGAGTACCGTTTTATACTAACACACATGCAGTGGAGCTTCTTGTACCGGTATAGAAAGCCTATTGGACAACTGCACAACTTTTTGAACTTCATACACCGAAAGTTACCCATATAAAATCTAGGACATAGCCCCTTGGGCGTAATGGATTGTTCCAAAAATTTCATCATGCTCATGGTACTCAGTGGGTTAAAAGAGCACGACAAGTGCCAAATCTAGTTTCCATTTAACTTCAGGTCACAAAAATTTTAATAACAAGCTGAGGACGGTTAAACCTCAACACTTCAAAACAATTATGAGACTGTTATCAAACTGTGCAATAATACAAAACTACAAATTTCGCTAAACTGACTGAGTTGTAAAATTCATTATTTTATAATAATGCGCTTACAATTTTTTTTCCAATGAGTCCGGTATGGTGTAATGGCTATCACGGTTCGCTTTCACCGAGCAAATCAGGGTTCGATTCCCTGTACCGGAGTTCTTTTTTGGATTTTCACACTTACCTCAAATTTTTGGGCGTTGTCCTGTTATTTACCATTTAAACCACACTAAGGTTTTCAATTAGATCATTCAACCACATATTCTCACTAAGTTACTTGAGTTGAACAAGCAATCACAGGGAAGCCGATATCTGCGACGCTTAACGTAGAAGCATGAAAACCCGATGGAAGCTTAACATGCTTATCATATTGAATCAAACTTTTTAGCTTTTCGAAAGTCATCTTACAAATCTCAACTATACGCACAAAGGGTTTAATTTGCCATAGGCCCGTCTTCAAAGATGAGATCACCGCTTGAATGATTAAATACGCCGTTACGCAAATTCAAGTACAGCATTGATCAATTTACGTTGGTGGAATACGACGACGTTGTGACTCGACCTTAGTCGAGGCGCTTCAACTCAAAGGACACACTCGTCGTGGTCGCCTCCATCAACACGTACCGCTAATATACCAGTAAGATAAAACTCCAGTGATATGCTTGATTTCCAAATAAACACAGCTACACTGACTAAGACAGATTATAGAGTTAATCTTCATCCCCGCAAAAGCTCCCACAAATACTCCGACAAAAATTACCCATTGCGACAAACGCGACGATCCTCACTTTTCTCAGCCTTCCTCCATCAGCGCTACCGCACTACCAAACCCCATAGCCCTTCCCCCGCCATGGCTGACGAGGACGGACTCAGCCAATTGCTTCTGAGGCTGATGAGCCGCCCCAACGGCGACGACTCGCTTGACCATCTTCGCCGGGCAGGCCCGCAGCGGACACTGGGCCCAGTGGGACTGGGGAAACAATTCATGAACAGAAATATCAGTGCCACCATCACCATCGGCAAACGGGGCCCGCAAATGACTGCTCCCACTACTTTGACAGTTGGTAAACCCGCCATCACCACCCGGCCACTGACTAAGCTGCTTCCGCTGAGTCTGGCACCGCAGAAAGCTCATGAGGTGGGGTATACCGATTCTGTTGAACTTCCAGTGTGGTTTCACGAGGATAAGCTTAGCGAGGTGCTTATAAGACCCCTGGCTATTGGTGGAGGCGTTAGAGAGGGCGATGTTCTCACTTTACAGCCGGTTGGAGGTAAATTGAAGCTAGTGTTTACCGTCGACGAAAACTCACTTAAAGACGAGGCGTCGGAGGAGACATCCAAGGAGATGATACTGTTGAAACAAAACTACCAACTGGTGCTCAATTTAGCTCCCAGAGGCATGGCTACCATAGCCCGGGTGCCAAACATCGCCGATGTCACTGCTGATCTGGTCGAAATCTTCATCAAGGATATTAATATGGCCCGTGACTCAATGTGGAATTTCTCTGGGAAACTCGAGGGTCGATGTGTACACCAAGACCAGCGACTCATACACCAGAACTATCGAGCTGGTGTGGTAAGATGCATTTACAAGAATGGCAAACGGATGTTTTCAGGGTACATTTCTAAAGATACACATGTGGTGTACCGTCTGGAGCTGGCTAAGCTTACGGTGCTTATTCAATTGCTGCAGGAAATGTGGCACTTTGAAGAGACTGGTGAGATCTTGTTTCACAAACTTGTCAACTCTTTGTTTCCGCAAATGTTCAAGCGGTGGCGTAATGGCAAAACTCATCATTCAATCACGATTGTTCTCTTCACTCTGGTGGATCTCACGACCATTCCGTGGCTGTCTTTTGGTGCTGGGGAACGCCCTCAAGACCGCAGGGACTATTTCCGCGTAGTGGTGGATCAGGTCAACATATTGCACTGGGACAAAATCATGCTGAATTTGCGGCTAGAGTTTGCCAACTTTAAGCGCGATATCATGTTAGGATCCCACGGAGATCAGTACCGCATTGAAGGAGAACCATTACCTACAGTGAAAGGTAACATTCTTGAAGCCATCAACTTGGGGCTTCTGCTCCAACTAGATCGGTTCCGCAATACTGATTTGAAGCATCTGCTCAACAATGTCATCATCATCACTCCGGGGCTGGGCCTCTTTGACGTTGAGCAGGACTTGCTCCGCATTACCAGTGACAAGATTGCTCGGCTAGACTGTGGCATCGATATCGTGTGTCTTCTGCCGCCCCCATTACACACAACTCCGGTGTTTCGATACTTGGACCAAGGGAAAGTGAGGTATGGCATCCCTAACTGGTGCGACATCCTGTTCTACCACCAGGGAGATGAGTACTCCAGTAAACAGTGGATCCCTCGTTGCAAAATTTACGAGTTGCAAATGATGGGGGTGACTGAAACCGACTGGAACCAAGTGAGAATTGAGCGGTTTATTCCCAGGCCAGGGACGACGTTGGAGGCGGCGATGGAAGCCTACGACGACAGCGTGTTTCGCCCTGTGCGGCAACTTGCGGGACTGGATCCCATGACAGAAGAAGCCGTCGATACCGCTGACCAATCGCAGATGTCGCTGCTGCTGCTGCTGCCCTATGCCGAGACCACCTTGGCCCTCATCAAGCTGACGGCGCCGGCGCCGGCACTTACGGGGACGGTGGTCATTCAGGGAGCAGTGCCCACGGCTCAGATCGCCAATGACAATGGTAATACTGCGTTACACAAGTTATACACGATCAACAAAAACGACGATAAGGGCGTGCTGGCGCGGAGACTGTCAAATCTGACAATTCAGCTGTTGCGAGACGTGTTCAAGCGGCCAAAGGCACTGGTACCGGAACTGGTGGTGGAGCTGACGGCGCTGGTCAAGCTGTTGACGCCCCTGAGAGTGCCTCAAGCAAGGACGATATTGGGGACTAGTGACAGCAAAACTGCGTCTAAATTATCACCGAAACGGGCTAAACGGCCAGAGAAGCGAGCAGCAAGGCGGCAACTGGAACGTACCCATTTGACTACAACCATCGGTACAGGCGCCGATACCCCAGAGGATACCGATGCGACCGATCCCATGAATCGATTATGGATGGAGGTCGACAACCCTTTGCTTGAACCACATCAAAATACCCTCGAGCATTTCCGTTTCCTGCGATGGAGCGAAGTGTTCCCCGACAATTACCGTCGTGGTCCGATAAAGTGGCGAGCGTTTATGGCACCGGCAGCCCTTCCCACGCTGACGTCTTTGTTTCCGTCCCCAGAAGTGTTGGAACACAACTACACGTTTCAAACTTATAATGTGGTTCTTGCTGACGATAACTACTGGGGGATCTCGAACGTACACGACCTCATGTTTGAGATGATCAGATTACGGCTTGCCCTTGGGTTTCAAGTGTGCTATGGTGACGCTGTGAAGAAAGTGGAGACTGAAAGACAACCAGGGGGTAGTGCTGAGGGGCTTATCAAGTATTTCTCTCCGGTTAAACTGGTGCTGGCAAGTTACATCTATATGTGTTATGAACACGAGATTCACCGCATCAGTTGCGACTTTAGCGGTACTCTCACCGTCCAACTTTATCTGAGAATTCCCCCTGATCTTTTATTAAACCCCATTCGTTTGGGAGCTCAGCCCAGTGAGAAGAAGTACACCCCACTCATCCGAACTCGGTACGCTGACACGTATCTGCCAGCACAACAAGACTTTTTGGCACCACCACCTGCGCCTCAACAGAACTGGAACCAGCTTGATCAAATGATGGCCGGTTACGATGACGCTGTGGCCTCGCCTGCTCGTCAATTTCATCGGATGAAATTCGTGGTTATGCCTCTGGAAGTACCCAAAAATACTCATTTAGTGAGCCCAGAACTTTCCGACGAGGAAATCAGAGTAGACGGTTTGCGTAAGCTTGTGGCTGCTATTGAGAAGGATAAAACCAAGGACCCGGAAATCTTATTCTACACGGGCAACTTGTTTGACTTCTTGAGTCAGGAACAAGATATTGATGCCGGTGCCAAAAAGCTCAGCACTAAGCTTTCCACAGCAACGTCGATGGTCCAGCTTGCTCAAGAGCTTCAAGGTCCCAATGGACTCCAGCTTACCGATCGCAAGTGGCATTTTAAGAAGCATCTTCGGTCATTTGTGGGGCTGGACTTTGTCTCGTGGCTCGTGGAAAACTTTGACGACATCAATCTGAGAGACGATGCTATGGCCTTTGGCACAAAGTGTTTTGAAGCAGGGATGTTCCGTCATGTCGAACAACGCCACCCGTTGTTGGATGGTCACTACTTTTACAAGTTCGAAGAAGACTACGTTGACTTGACGAGACCTGATAAACCTAAAGCACTGTGGTTCAAGAAGCAGGCGCTGGACGGAGATCTGAACTTACTGGGCGGCGAGTTGAGACCAGTGGATCTGGAGGTATCGCTGCATACCCCTCACAAGCGGTTATACATGTTGAGTCGCTCAGTTCGTTTCAACGTCGATCCCAACCACAGTCTGGACCGGTCAGAGATTGTCACGGTTCACTACGATCGAGTGCACAACCCAGAACATTGCTACCACATTCGTCTCCAATGGTTGAATGCCACCGCCAAGTTTATCGACGAAACGATTACTGGTTGGGCACGGATGTGTACCCGTCATGGACTTAAGCTTGTGGAGACCCCGTGGACTGAGCTTTGTCAACTCCCCAGATTGCTGCCGTTCCACAGTTTCGTCGAACTCAAGCTTGCCGTAAATCCTGGGGACGTCGTCGGTGCTGACGATCCCATTTTGCAGCAAACCCCCTTCTACTACCACTTGTATTTCTTGAAAAAGATGGACTTCTACCTTGATAACCGTCTGACTCAATTCTTCTCGAAAGAGGAAAACGTCGAAGTGGTATACCTGTGGGGGGCACCTCGATTTAAGTATGCCCAATTCATTCATGGAACTGGTACTTACATGATCGAGCTTCGTGACAACGGTGAGTTCTTCATGGCTCCCAACAACACCCACATGATTCGGGTTAACCTGGCGATCATCTCCCTGCAGATTGAAAATGATGGCTTCCACCGAGCTCCCGCCCTGATCGACCCACAAAAAGTGATGCTCAAGTTCCGCCTGGCGTGTCAAGACGAAGCCTACTTGCGAAGATTGTTCCATGAAGCCCGTGACGAGTGGCGAGCTGAGCTATTGGAGAGCGTGTAGCGCTACTCGCTCCATGTTCATACATGTAATTAGTTGCATCTTGCAAATAAATAAAACGCATATACTATGGTGGAAACACTCTCGAGTTCCCTTAGGTGTTGGAATTGATACAGAGTATCTATACAAAGTATCGTCATGCTATTTCAGCGAAGCAATGGAACTCCGCTTTCGCGCCCATCATCGAACATAGGCCAATAGGTGGGTCATAATGCACACTTGCCTAAATTTGATCTTCACGTCATTGCCACCATAATTTCGTACTGTACTATTTATACGTCTTCGCCACCACTCGCACGGCTTATCTTATCTCTGCTCATCCCTGCGGATGCGACTGGTGTTCCACAAACTTATCGTTCCTCGAGATCCGCTACCGTTAAATGCCAGTTGCCAGGCTCTATTTGACAAGTGGAAGCTCCCCCCTAACGCTCTTTTACCCGGGCAAACCCCACTGGACCCACCTCCCTTCGAGTACTTTTCCACGCGCAATGTAAATGAAGATTACATCAAATCACCCCGGCTAGCGGTGACCAAACTCTTGACTAAACGATGGTGTGAGGCGAGAGAGTACTATACGATTTACTTGGGCTCTCCCGTGGTCCGAAACGCGGCGATGACCAAAGGTACGGTCCACCATACGCGTCTTGAAGACCTGACCCATAAACGCGTCGACACGTCTAAGCTTCGGGCGTACCTTCGCCAACTTGCCGAACTCGTTCCCGAAGGCAATCTTGCATTGGTAAATGGTGCCGAAACCAGCTATGGCGCCCGCTGGGCTAATCAAATCATCGCTCGGTTATTTCTGCTCTTTACCACCTCCACCGCTCGTGAGATCATGATTCACGGGTGGATTGACCTTGACAATGGCAAACTATGTGGTCCTGATGTGGCCAACGCCGTTCCCGTCAATGGCGTGATTGATTTGGTGAAGTTAGTCAATCAGGAAAACTCCCGTGACTGGTCGATGGTGGAGGATGTGATTAATCAACTCGATGGTAATAACCGACTGATCGATGGGCTTTTGAGTCAATTTGAAATCGCCGCTAAAGGTCACGGAGATACTAAGATTGTCGTGACTGATGTCAAGACCCGACCCTTCAGTAAAGCTCCCGAACAACCGCTGGTAGTGGAAGCCGCCGAGCTCCAAACGCTTTACTATCATCGCATGCTTGATACTTTATCAAGAGACCCCCAGCAAACGTACCGCAGTCTTCTTGCCAACGCTGAGAGTTTTGGTTTAGACGTGGATGCTCCCCTCAGCTACGTTGGCCTCATCGAGATGCTTGCTAAGCCCGAGGGTGACTTATTAGCTCATGATTTGAAGCTGATTGCCAATGGTGAACTGTTTGGCTTCAGTGACTACGATAATCATGAGTTCAAAACTGATGTAGTGTACGATCCATCAACTTTGGTGACCACCCCGGAACAACTAGCACAAATCTGCGAAATTCATGCCATTGAGCCACTTCTTACGCCTTTACTCAAGCCCTGGAAGCGAGCACCTACCCTCAGGTTCCTCGCTGCTCGCGCAGCACAGATGTATCATTTGTGCTATAAACGTATGGCCGATACCACTACCGTGGAGTATCACAATTCGCATACCGGCCACCGCTTTGAGACCCAAGTGATCTCGGTGTCACGTAACCGGCTTGACGAGGCCACCGCCCACGCTCTGGAATTTTGGCGTGGAGCTCGCCCTCCTGAGTACGCTGACACTGTGGCCATGTGTAAAAACTGTACGTTCGCTGCTAAGTGTCGTCGGCCCAACGGAGCCACTGCGGAAGACGAGGCCCGACTCGAAGTGGGGCGTCAGCTCTACAACTACCTCGAAGATGTGGCCGCCCATCAAAAAGACTCTTCCACCTAAAAATGTCGTGAGACAAAGGAGGAGTCCTTCTGCAGGGCTGCGTCAATGTTTGGGTGTCGTTTACCATCCTACGTCTGCAATGGCACGTGAATGGAGATAGTACCCAAGAACTACCGACACTCGAGAGTGCCGGCGGTTGAAGAGTTCAGGGTTAGGGGCATCGCGCTTTTATACGACATCGCTAGATTGTATGCAGGTCATGAAAATTCCATTAAGTTCTAATTACAGCAAATGCCAAGCCCATCGTAAGCCAGCATCACTGGTTAGGGCGCAAATCGTCAAGATCACCTCCGAGACCGCCGTATTTACGACGAAATTCTTTATCTAGATGCTTTTTGAGCCCGACAAAGCTATTTTTAAAGTCAGTACCGCAGTAGCAACACCGAAGCCCAGTCTTCAACCAAGCGTCTGCATTAGCCGCACCACCGCCGACATTATTGTCATTATCGTCATCACTGTCGTCAGTGCTCTCCCGCGGCTCAAGCCGGGCAAACGGCACGAAGAACGGGGTGGCGAATGAGTTATAGTGTTTCTTGTGCTTCATTGCCGGTGACCACATGTCGCGAGTCATAACGTGGATGTGAAGGTTCGAAAGCAGTGGCTGGGAATGAACTCCCACCTGGATGAACGGGCGGAAGGTGTCGGGAGTAGCGTCGGGAAACTGTCGGAGTAGCGACGACACCACTAGGTCAATGCATTTGTCGACGTATTTTTTCGTGAGGGTGTAAAACTCAGAGTCATCGTCAAACGCCACTAGCGGGTGGTCGTGGGTCTTGGTGGCGTGGCGAGGAATCACTAAGTAGTGACGTAGCAGCTTGGGATACTTGTCTTCGATGATAACGGCATTATCATCGTAGAAGAGCACCCCTGGCTTGCCCTCGGGCTTGTCGATAATGGGCTGGAACGCCGTTCTAAAGGACATGGTGGCGACAAAGATTTGCGGCTCGATTAGTCTATGTACATTTAGTCAACAGCTACACTTTCCGTTTGGTGGCGGCGGCTGGAGTTGGCGTGGTGGTAGTAGTGACACCCGACGCCAATTTAGTCTCCGCTGTCTTCTCCTCCACCGGTTTGTCGTCAGCGTTCGCGTCGCTCTCGAGCTTCAACTCCTCGTTCGTCTTCAACTTCGCTTGGCGCAACTCGCCGATAAACCAGATGACAAGCCCGTACAACACACTGGCAATCACCAAGAGGTTGAGGAAGTGGATCAGCCCCAGGTACCACGTGAGTGCTGCCAACAACGTAAGCAAAAGGACAAACAGCGCGTGGGTCGCCACCAAAAGCGCTCCGTTAGTGCCGGGAGTGAATATCAGCTCCCACAACTCCAGTACAAACGACGCCATTGTGGAACAACTTCAAATTCTCTTTGCTTCTTAGTGTTTCTTCGAGAGCCGCACCCGTCGCGGAGTTCATGGCTACCTGCAGTACGCGCGGTGGCCAAAAAACTTGCCATCCACCCTTTGTCCACCATGATTCCCAGCGATGATTCGTTTATCAGCGACGATGAAGAGGAATACTGGTAAGTATCGCTACCAATCGATTTGTTCTATCATAATATACTAACAATAGCCCTCTTTGCGTGGAGGAAATGGACATTTCCGACAAAAACTTCAAACCGTGTCCTTGTGGCTACCAAATCTGCCAGTTCTGCTACAACAACTTGAGGCAGAATCCGCAGTTGGTGCCGAAGTGTCCTGGTTGTCGTCGTCTTTACGACGACGAGCTGGTCGAGTACAAGAGCATCACTCCGGCCGAGTACCGGCTCCAACAGGCAAAGCGGGAAAAGAAGGAGCGTGAACGCAAGCAACGGGAGAAGGAGAAGAAGGAACTGGAACTCGCCAACAAAAAGCACCTCGCTGGCTTGCGCGTGGTCCAAAAGAATCTTGTCTACGTCACCGGGCTCAACCCCCCTTGCCCTCCCGAAGACTTGCACCTGGTGTTACGTCTGGACCGCTACTTCGGCCAGTATGGCAAGATCACGAAAATCGTCATCAACAAAAAGCTGCCCAGTCTGGGTCTGCAAGGCCACCACCACCACAGCTCGTCAGGGCTTGTTGTCTACGTTACCTTCGCTCGCAAGGAAGACGCTTTGCGCTGTATCAACGAGCTTGATGGTCTGTTGTGTGACGGTAGAGTGTTGAGAGCGGCTCACGGCACCACCAAGTACTGTTCGCTGTACTTGAGAGGCCACCCTTGTCCCAACCCCAATTGCATGTTCTTGCACGAGCCTGGTGAAGAAGCTGACTCTTACACTCGTAAGGACTTGCTGACTCACCAAGGCATCAAGATGGGCATGATGGGGATGAACCGCAGCGGTCTGGGCTCTAACTTGTTCGGCCTGTCGTTCGGTAGCGACCCCGACCACCACCACCAGGAACCCGAAGAACCAGTGGTGGCACTCCCTGCTACGGCGCACTGGGCTACACAAGACGCTACGCTGGCGGCATCGCTGCCACAAGTGTCTAACACCCCCTTGGCTAATCTGGCGGCCTTCCCTACCCTTAGTGAGATTTTCAAGGATCAAAAGCATCAACAAAAGAAGGAAGCACCCAAGCCCAAGGCTAAGCTGCGCAGCAATAAGGAGAACGTGTTACTTCCTGATGATATCGATGTTGATGATGACCTGGCGGCGCACTTTTTGGAAGAGAACAATGCGGTGCTCAAGAAACTTCACGAAGACTCCCAATCTCTTGCTGGCTACTTCAAGAATTTGGAGGCTCCTCAAGGCTTACCCATGTTCACGTTCAAGCCCGATCTCGAATTGGGTAACCCCGAAGAAGATAAGGATCGTGCACGTCTTGTAATTGAGCGGTTCCTTTTCCGTCCTGTTAAAAACTACCACTTGGCTTACATCAATCATCCCATCACTCAATTGTTACACCAACAACACCAGCAGCAGCAACGCCAACAACTGACATTGCAAGCCGCTCAGTTGCAACAATTGCACATGGAGCAGCAAAAGGGTTTGCAACAACAGGCACATCAGGCACAACAACAAGCTCAACAACACCAGCAGGCTCAGCAACAGCAACAGGCACAACACGCTCAACAGGCCCAACAGCAACAGGCCCAACAGCAGCAACAGTTACTTCTTTTGCAATTGCAACAACAAGCCGCTAAGCAACAGCAGCAACACGCTCAGCAACAAGCACAACAACCGCTGCAACAATCGCAGCCGCAGCCGCAGCCCCAGCCTCAACCACAACAACCTCAACCTCAACCTCATCAGCAACAACAACAGCAACAGATCAACATGTTGCGGATGAATGACAGAGTTCAAACCTCTACTCCTCCGCCCCCTGGTTTATTCACTGGTGGTGCCGCCGCCCTGGTTCCTAAGCAACCTCAAGGCGTGCCGCTTGCCCAATACCAAGGACAATCTTTCCCCGACCATAGCCCCACCGGTGGAGCCAACCAGCTGACGAGCTCACAATTGTTGTCGCAGTTGATGGGAGGGAAGAGATAAGCAGAGCGGAAATTGTATACTAGATAGCATTTGATGTATTATAGCGGGTTGTCGGACAGCCTCAGCGAAAGAATATAGGTAAATTTGGGTTTTATATTCGTAGTCTTCTACGTTCGGTTCGTAATGCTTCTCGTCGATTTCAAAATTTGGTTTCAAAATCTGAATTTAGGCGATACACAATGAGGCACAATGAATATTTGACAACATTCTGCAGTAAACAAATGGACCCTAGTGGCTAACAGTCAACTCCATCAACACGTAGTAAAAATGTGAAAAATATGAACTGTGCGGGAATCGAACCCACTTCGCTTGCTTGGAAGGCAAGAGTGTTACCAGTACACCAACAGTCCATTTCTGATTTTTGAGTTTTGCGCTCATATATGTGAGACGATATAAGGGCCCCAAAATGTCTTTTTGGGTTGCTCTTTGATGATCTGAGTATATAGTGAAGTGATTCATAAAGCGTAAGATTCATTATATAAATTGCGCGCGTAACTAACTGCGGGTAATGGGTACCCCACCGAAGTTCTCGCCGGTGTAGTGGCGTTCCTGAGTTTGGACCTGAGGTTCAGTGTTGTGCACATTACCACGAGGTTGTTGAGCTTTGACCGTTCTGGTAGTTGTGGTAATAGTCTCAGTAGCGTAGCGACCTTGACTTTGGTTTTCAAAGTGTCCCTTGTCGGAGATGGGTGAACGGTAAACGCCAGTCGGTTTGGGAGCACCTCTGCCAGTGTCGATATGGTAGTCTTCATAGACGGGGCGACCCCCATCGTAGTCCTTGTTCAAAGGACGCTCGTAGTCTTCAAAACCCTTTTCAGCTTTCTGCTTGAGGGGGACATGCACATGAGGCTTTTGATCCTCGTAGATAGGTCTACCGCCGTGGTAGTTCTTGTTGACAGGACGCTCATAGTTTTCGAAAGTTTCTTCGGCTTTCTCCTTGAGGGGCACGTGTACTTTCTCCGTGATGGGATCGTGCACCTTCTCCTTAATGGGAATGTGTACAAGCGGTTCCTGGTCCTCATACACGGGTCTTCCACCATGATAGTCTTTGTTGACGGGGCGTTCGTAATTATCAAAAAGCTTATCTGCCTTTTCCTGAAAAGGCATGTGAACGTGATGTTTGTGGCCGTGATGATGGTGGCTGCGAGACTCGGGGAGAGTCTTTTCGTAGAGGCGAGGTTCGTGGGGGCGTTGTTCGTTGACAAGTGGTTCAGGGGGGTGTTGTTCGTAGACACGGGGTTCGTGGTTCTTGTAAATGGGATCACCGTTGTTGTAGTGGTGGTTAACCGGACGCTCATAGTTTTCAAACGTTTTCTCGGCCTTTTCCTTAAGCGGGACGTGGGTGTGGGGCTCTTGGTCTTCGTAGACAGGTCTGCCTCCGTTGTAGTTGGAGTTAACCGGCCGTTCGTAGTTCTCAAAGAGACGCTCTCCGGTTTCGCTCAGCAAGCCATGGTGGTGGTGATGGTGGTGGCCACTGCTCGGAGAAGACAGCCCGGCGCCTTGGCTGAGAGCTTCGTTGTAGCCCTGGTTGTATGACGCCTGATCGTAGGCCTGGTTGTATCCCTGGGTGTAGCCTTCGTAGTAACCTTTGTTTGAGCTCATGGCAACAATGGGGATTCAATTGATGGCATGACAGGCTTTTATACTTCGACTTGTGTCAGTCCGAGGGCTCCGGAGCTATTTAGTCATCCAGGGACGATGACGCAACCACATTTTTCTAAACGGTCACTCGCCAAAGTAGTGCGATTTTGTGAGACCATTTTGACGGCATAATTGATCGAAAATAAAACATTGACAGCACGGATAATTATGTCTACATGTCAAATAGATCAGTCTGATAGTTTTTGTATCTAATGGTGTCTATTTCGACCACGGTAAGCGGGATTTGCGGACCGGGATCGCCGTGGTCCGGAATCTCGGAGTCACTTGCTCTCGCGGAGATCGATGGTGCTACGACGCCCTGACGTCACCCGGCGGAGTTAATCGCGTGCTATTAGCGTTAAATATAATCCTTTAATAATTTCAACCGTTCGACCGCCTCTTGCAAGATCAGATCGTCTTTGCACACAGCAAACCGCAAGCAGTTTTCGAGGCCGTTACCCTCACGGTTTTCGGGGTAAAGGAACTCGGTGGGGGGGATGCCGACGACGCCAAGCTCCTGGATCAACCAGTAGGCCAATTTGAAGTCGTTGGTGCGGCTGGCAATTTCCGGCGGGTAGGAGTAGTCTTTGGGGATCTTCACTTTACTTAAGTTCACGAGCAAAAAGTAGCCTCCCTGGGCTTCGGTGTAAGGCAACCCTAAGTCGTCAAACACTTTCGTGAAAAGCTGGTATTTGTGGCGGTACTGGTCGCGGGTTTTAGCCAAGTAGTTGGACTGGTCAGCAGCACGGAACCCCTGGGCCACCGCCTGTTGAAGCGGCGACGGCGAGCAGAAACAGATTCTCACGTGAGCGGCAGTGACGTACTTGATGAGGTTCGCTGGACCTTGCACGTAGCCAATGCGCCAGCCAGTGGCGGCAAACAGCTTCCCCGCCAGCCCCACCGTCAACGTGCGGTCGGCGAGCTCGGGGAGATTGGCGAGGTTTGCCGGCCGGGGGAAGGTCTTGCCGAAGTACAAGTTTTCGTAGACCTCGTCGGAGACAAGGATCAAGTTGTGCTTGATGCAGAGCTTACCGATGCGTTCCAATTCGGCTTCGGTGAACACTTTGCCAATGGGGTTATGAGGGGTGTTGATGACGATCATCTTGGTTTTGGGAGTGATGGCAGCTTCCAATTTGGCCCAGTCCACCTGCCAGTCGTCACCAGTAACGGTGGCAGTGTCCATCTTCAGCGGGTAGTTAATGGGCACGTACTTGATGGTAGCACCAGTCATCTCGATGTTAGCAATGTACTGGTCAAAGAACGGTTCAAACACCACAACTTCGTCACCAGGGGTCAAGTAGCCGAAGAAGATCGAGAGCATCCCCTCGTTAGCACCAGTGGTGATCTGTACTTGCGAGACATCAACCTTACGTCCATACAGCGTCAGGTAGTGGCGAGCGACTTCCGCAAGTAAATTGGGGTTGCCTCGAGCAGGAGCGTACTGGTTAACCTCGTTCAAAGCGGCTTTAGCAGCGTCAAGAGCGAAGTCCGGCGGGTTGTATGAGAAAAACCCTTGGCCCAAGTTGACGATCTGACGGCCACCCAGCAGCTTTTGCGCCTCGGCGGCGGCCTCATTGATCAATGTCCAGATATCCTTGTCGCCGGGCTTCTGGTAGAAGTACGGGTTGTGCAATTTTGCGGGGTCCTCCGTGGGGGCGGCTGGGGTCGGCGATGTGGTCATGGTGCGGTTATGGAGCTGAGAAGCTGAGGGTAACGAAGCTAAGCGCCGAGAGACTGATTCGGTGGCCCTCCGTAGCATCAACACTACGAAAAATGAAATGATGATAAGCTGCACGGTGGGCGATGGTGGAGCGGCACGTGAACACGCAAAACGGTGGGGGCCATGCGTTTAAATATTTGGGGGTTTAGACGAGGCAGTAACGTCGCTACGACGAAAGGGAATGTGGTGCCGGCAGCAGACGTAGACAATGTACACGTGAAATTTAGTTGCAGAGGATGGAAATTTGGGTCATTGGAGGTTGGTAGAGGTGGATAATTAGGGTGGATAATTGACTGGCAAACGCCCAATATCTGTGGCTTTTGTCAGAAGTGGAGATAGCCGAAATTGAGTGGGTTCTAGTGGGCAGTGCCGATAATTGTAAGGACAGCCTCACCCGATTGCACGCGATCGTGTGGCGCGTCGGTAGCCGCCGTCGCACACAATGTTACAAATTGGGTGGACCCCAGTTACTACGCGTCCTCCTTACTAAGAAAACCATCACGCGTAATAGCGGTGACAACAACAAAATCAGCCTCTCAAGTCTAATTGAATTTATTGTAGCATTTCAAATCACTTGTCTATTGGTGAACATTCTGATCACGTCAACATTCAGAGATATCATAAAGGTTAACGCCTCAATACTAAACATTAGCAAGCTAAGCATTACTTACCTTACGTATTCCCAAGGGTTTTAACTTCAGATCGTATTGTCATGGGAGTCACTTTATTTTATCAGTCAACTAACACTGATCTACTGCATTCATTTCAATCTTTCATTAGTTCATACTCTATAAGCCTATCTATGGTCCATGCTAATGCGCTGGGCGTGGCGCTGGTTCTGTTCGAACTCCTGCAACTGGATGGTCTCGGTGTACACCAGCGACTCCGTCGGGTGGTTGTAGGCGTAGGGCAGCGTCGGCAGCGGGCTGAACTGGCGCTGGTCCTCGTAGTCGCCCGAAGGGCGAGGCTCCAGCATCGAGATCCGCCGCGTGTTGGCGTTGACGTAGTCACTCACCTTAACCCGGTCAGGATCAGTGGGGTCGTAGTCTTCCGGGTAAGCATCGAAGTCGCCCCGTTGCACACACTCTCTGATGACGTCAACGTCCTTGGGCCAGTACATCTGGTGCAAAGTGTCGAAGAAGAACCGGGGCATAAGACAGATAAGCACCCCGATATACATGCACGCCCAGAACGACGAGTTGCCGAACATTCTCGGGGCGGCCTTGTAGAACTCGCCGGCATTGGTGTTGATCGTCCACAACCCCGTCCAGATGAAGATGATGAGGATCGAGATACACACGATGAGCACCGACAACCAGTCCCAGCGGTACTGGTGCATGAGGATGAACAAGTTGCACGAGATACACAGGATGCAGGTGACGACAATCCCGATCATGAACCGGTGGTCGGTGGGGCGACCCTCGGTGTTGATGAACGAGATCCAGTAGATGAGGTAGGGGAAGAAAAACAGGATCACCAGCTGGTACAACGCGTCAAACATGTACCACCAAAACTTGCGGTCGGTGAACTCGGTCTGCATGATCCCCAGCACGTACAATTGCGGCACAAGCAACGACACCTTGGCACTGACGTCCTGGTCGAAAACCCCGAGGAAAATCACCGGCAACGACGTGAACGCCAAGTTGTAGAACATAAGGTAGGTGAATTCGAAGAGGTACAGCCCGTCGAAGTCGTTGTAGATGCCGTACCAGAACAACGCCATGGTGAAGATGACGTTTTTGTAGAAGAATGACGGGATCATTTCCGAGAACCGTTTGTACGACCACCGGCCGTGCACCAACAACAACCGGGCCAAGTAGCGGAACTGGCCCACGGCGTAGTCTGAGGACATCACTGCTTGACGCCCTTCTTCACCGGCAATACCAACACCGATATCGGCGGCCTGGATCATGGCCACATCGTTCGAACCGTCACCAATAGCAAGAGTCATCGCGTCCAACAGCTGCTTAACCATCTTAACCACGGCCGCCTTTTGGGCGGGAGACACACGGCAACAAAGCACCGACTTACACTGCTTACACAACATCAAGAACGCGTTAGGTTTCTCGAGGGCGATTCTAAGTGCTTCACCGTCAATGACAATGGCGAACCGTTCCAGCGGCGACAGGTGGTCGCCAACGGAGTCTTCAACAAGCTGGTCCACTTGCCGGGGGTCGATGGCAAAATATCTTTCCAAGAACAGGTTGATCATTTGTTTAACAAGTTGCTCGTCCAGCAACAGCTCGTAGTTCTGGATCCCGTAGAGCTCGATCTCCTCGTTCAGGTACTTGGTCTTAATCTGCAAGAGCTCCATATCGTTACCCAATAAGTTACACGAGAAGCCAATGTTGATGGCAGTTTCGACCTTGTCACCGGTAAGCACCCACAACTTGATTTTCCCTTCACCCAACACTTGGATCGCTTCAGGGACACCGTCTTGAAGACGATCCTCAATGGCGGTACCACCCAAAAGAATAAGTTCACGTTCAATTTGGTCGGCAATCGCTTCCATCTTCTCTTCACGGTCGACCAACGACAGCGCCGCTTCGCGGTGCTTCTGGTTCCACGCGTGGTATTGGTCCCACAGCAATTCTCTCTGGGCAATACACAACGTCCGCAAACCTTCGGTAGCAAACTCCTCGAGGTGGGCCAGGGTCTGGTCAATGATCTCCTGGTCGTTCTCGGTGGCAGAAAGCCGCAGGTAGATGATGGAGTCGGCACCTTTAGTGATGAGCAAGCAGCGCGGGTCCTTGCCGTCTTCTTCCAATTTGACGATGGCACTCATCCGCTTACGCGTCGAGTTGAATTCCAAGGTGTTGAGCACCACGTACTCGCGTTCCACGCCCTGGACGTCGACAATCACCCCCAGCTTCGTCAGTTGCTTAAAGTTGAAACCGACGGAACGGGCGGTACCCACGAGAGCTGCTTCATCAGGCAGTTGCGCCTTCAAAAGCTGTTTGCCCGGGTGCTTTTCATCGGGTTCCACAAGCACTGAGTGACAGAGGGAGAGGCACAACATGAAATGGGCGTCGCACTCCCGTTGTCTGGGTCCCAGTTGGCCCATCAAGTCCTCGACGAACTCCAGCGACACGAAGGTGATTTCGTCGTTGTAGATGGCGTTCAGCGGCGTCAACTCGTTCAACAACTTGATCATCGCCTTGCGGTCCTCGGCGATGAGGGCTCGCTCGTGGGCGGCTTCCTTTTCGACGTCGATCCCTTGGCGTTTACGTAAACCAGCAAGGGCTTCGGTGTAGGCGCGACCGTACAGCTTGCCGTTGATGGTACACTTTTTAAACTCCATAAGGTTCTGAGTCAACGTCCCGGTTTTATCGGAGAAGATATACTCGATCTGGCCCAAGTCATCGGAGATAGACCACGATTTAGGCGTACAGGGGTAGTCCAAACGAGCATAGTACATGCCGATGTCCAGGTAGATAAAGTACGCCTGACACGTCTTGATGATTTCGATGGTGATATACAACGAGATCGGCACCAACAGCTGGTAAAGGATAAGCGCCACAAAGAACAGCACGACCCCGTTGGCGGCGGGGGAGCCGGCGATGGTCTCTCGCGTCTCGTAGAACGGTCGCAGCACATTCTGTCGGTTATACCATATACCGTTGACCAAACCCGACACGAAACACATAACGAAAAGAAGCAAGAAGTTGAGGAAGACGTAGTAGTTGAGGTGTCTCAGCATTCTCAGCTGCTTGGTGGGAGTAACACCGGCGTTAAGCATGATCTTGGTGTCGTCCCCAGTAAAGACGACAATGCCAATCACCCACTTGGTGTTACGCAACAGACACCCCCGCAAAAGCAAGTTGTTGATGGTGACGGGTTCCTGGTTCTCCTGGCCCGTCAGCGTCCAGTAGCGCAAGTTCCCTTGGTACAGGTACAAGTTGGGGTGGGGCCCTTCCAGCTCGATCTGGAACTCGCGGTCAATCAAGTCGTCGGCTTTGGCGAGCTTGCGGTCGCCCAATTGGCCGTATTTAAGCGCCTGGCGCACCTTCAAGTTAGTTTCACCATCCAAGTTCTTGGTTTCGACGTAGCAACAGTTGTCGTCGTCCAGAGTCGACAAAATGACGACGTCGGCGGGGATCTCGTCGTTGTTGTAGATGCGCAAGACGTCACCCACTTTCACTTCCTTCCAGTACAGTTTGCCGAACTTGAGGGTCTTTTGCTGGCGGTACATCAGCCGGCGCTGGCCCAGTGGGTAAGTAATGTCGGCGAAGGGGTCTTCCATCAGAGCGCGAGGAGAGTATTCCAGCTCGAACAGTTTACGCTGTTCCAGCGCCTCGGCCGCTTCGCGACGGAGCTCTTCCGCTCGCTTCTCACGACCCTTCTTGGTCATTCGCGCTTGGGCGCCGTAGATCATCCGGAACATGCCCCTCAGACACGCCTTTTTGAACCGGCGCCAGGGGCTGACGTAGTCGCTGTTGACGTTGTTGTTGATGTAGTTGTAATTCAGCAGCGACGCCAGGTTCTGTTTCAAAATGTGGGTGCCCTGGTTGTTGATTTCCATATCGGTGACGGTACGCCGCAGGTCTTCGACCCCGTCCTTGACGGCAGTAATGAGGACAATGACGATAAGCGGCACCGCGGCAAGCACTGGCGACGGCACCCCGAAGATGTCGAACGCCCCCAAGATCACCAACACCAAGAAGTAGATGTTGGCGACGTTGTGGAGGAACTGGTTGATGATGTTTTTCGGCAAAAACGTCAACGGAGTATACTTGGTGGTGCGGATCTTGTTACGCGGATAGTTGGTCGCGGGCATGCCGTCTTCGTCCAAGTCGTCTTCCGGTAGTAGCCGGTTAAATACCACCGTGCGGTGTTCCAGTTTGCGGTCGCGTGGGTCGTCGGCGGCGACGGGGTCGTGCGGCAAGTGGTCGTCGTCCAGGTCGTCTAACGTCTTGGGCTTACGGATCAGCCGTTTGCGCTTCCCTTCGTGGGAGTGGTGGTGGTTGGGGTTAAGTAATTGCTTAAGCGTTTTCAGCCGGCCGACGCCGTCTTTCTTCGGGTGGCCCAGGCGATGGCGCGTCGTCCCCCACCGGTGTCTCAGCATCTTCGGGGGCGTTTGCTCGCCGTTTTCGTGTAAATGGTCATTCAACGTCTTCAGCAGCAGCAGCAGCAGCGCCGATCCTGGGAGCTTAAACCGTAACAGCCCTTGGCGCTTATTAGGAGTTTGTTGGGTGGGCGGGGGCAGCGCGAGCGGGTCCAGCGCCAGAAACTGCACTCCCAGGGCGTGGGGCGCTGCCAGCTGGTGGACCTGGCCGAGGGGAGGGCTC